TTAAAGTATTTTCACTTTATTTAATCCCAAATTTTTCTTGAAGATTACAGAAGCTTGTTCTTGGAAAAACTTATTAAAGCTAGCACTTCGGAAGCCCTGGTTAGTAGTCGCTATAAAAAGAGGGGTTTATGGAGTCAGAATAAGTTAGGAAGTCTTACTCTTATATAGAACCAAAAGGATGTGTCTGTGGATGAACACAAGGAGACCAAAAGAAAAAACGTAAAAAAATACAGGGAACTAGTACAACATAGATGTAGCTATGCATAAACCTTTTCTTCTCTGATAAGCTGCATCTTTTTTTCCAAGTAACCTATGGATCATTCCAAAAATTATTCATAAACAAAAGCTTAGTAAGTTTTAAAAATCAGAAAAAACAAGGCAGACAACATCCTTTATCACAAGGGTGGGCCAAATTTAAAAATTTAAACAAAATCTAAGGTACAATAAAATTTTCCTTGGTTCAAACAGGAAGTTTAAAGCTGAAAATTGTTGAACAGTAAAGGACCTAAGAGACATTCAAAATATAAAATACACCTAAAGTTTACCCAGAATATTTGAGACCTTACTAACAAGAAATTAATACAAAAGCTGAGGCAAGAGGATTGTGAGTTCAAGGCTACCCTAGGCTGTTTATGATGAGATCCTGTCTCTAAATAAAAGTTACTGGTAGAACCAAAAACCAAGGAAAGAAGGATGAAGGACTTAGTAAAAAACAAAAGTAAGGTCTGTCCAAACCTGTTTCCCTTAGCACCTAGGTCTCCTCTTCAAAAATTTGATGTTCCATCTCATGATTTTGTGCATGATTGAAAACTATAGTTGTGCATTTCTGAATTTGGCTTTCCTTACATTTATTTTATACGTGAAGAGTATTCCTTACCAGTTTAAAATTACTCTTTACAGAGTATTAGTTCAGTCTTTTACAACATGTTTACAAATTTCTGTTCTTGTTAGTTTTGGGTTCGGTACTGAATTTGAACTCAGGGCCTTGAACTTTGCTATTGCAGGTGGTTCTACCATGTCCCCAACACTTTTTGCTAGTTATTTTTCAGGGTAGGGATCTTGCTTTTTTGCCTGGGACCATCCTGGCACTGTAATCCTGCTGACTTTAGCTCCCAAAATAGGCCGGGGTTACAGGTAACACCATCATGCCCACCTTTTTATTGAGATGGGGTCTCACTAACTTTTTCCCTGAGCTGGCGGCTTGAACTGTTGATCTTCTGATCTGACTCCCAAGTAGCTGGATTACTGGCATGAGCCAACTGAGCCCCAACATTGTGGTTTACACATTTCTTTGCTAGAGTGCTTCTGCATAACTATTCTTCCTTTTGGATTTCAACAACTTTCTTTCCTGAAGAAACAATCCTATATTGCTCTTTGGCAAAAATCTGAAAATGTCTTACCATTCTCTCTTGCACATCAGTTTATCAGTACATAAGAATTCAAGACCAACAGCAGTTTTTCCTTCAGCTCTTAGAAGTTATTTGTTTTTTCTGGCTCTATCGCTTGCATGGCAAAGCCTGCTATTCATGTAATGATTCCTTGAGTGTTGTCTTTTCTCTTCCATTGCTTTTAGATTCTTTCTCTGCACTTGTTGATCTAGCTACTTGGGAAACTGAGTTGCCAGGGAAAAGTCTGTGAGACTCCATCCCCAAAATAACTTTAGAAAAAATGGTTACTGCTCAAGTGGTAGAGTAACCTGCTTTGCAAGCATGAAGCCCTGATTCAAACCCCCAGTTCCAGCCAAAAACAAAGGATTTTTCTTGCCTGGTGACATTCTGCTATTTTCATTACTTGTATAGTAAGCAGACTTGTTTTTATTTTACTCTCCCATGCTTAATTTATCTATGCTTCTTCAATTTCAAGGAAAAAGTTTCAAATCTCTTCCTTCCTGATTTTTTTTTTTTTGTTGATTGTAGTACATGGGTTTGAACTCGGTGCCTATACTTGAAACTACTCCACCAGCTTTTTTTTTTTAATTGTTGTGCTGGTGGGTTGGGGGTACATTGGCATTTACGAAGGTTTTTACAAGTGTCAAACATAAAATGCCTGAATTCACCCCCTCCACTGCCTCTCTTTCTTCCCCCTCCCTTGATTCCTGGAAACAGTTTCATCAGGTTATCATTTTTGCATTTACATACATGTGTGTCCATTATTTGTGCCACATTCATCCTCCTGCGCCCTTTCCCGTCCCCCCTTGCCCCCAGGGCAGAAACCTGCTCCGCCCCTCCTGTTTATCCAATTGATATAAGAAAAAAACATAGAAAAGATAAAGGGGAACATGGTGTTTTTTTGGCTGGTTTGAGATAGATACCCCAGTTGGTCATCTCCTCTAGTCCTCTTCACTCCTCCCCTAGCCCCCTTTCTCTTGGTGGCCCCACCAGTTTAAGATTTCTATATTCATACCTGTTTACCATGAGCACCATTCAACCCACATCAAGTTTTTGGTTTCCTTTCCCTGTCCATCCCTCCCTCCCATGTGTCTATAATCTGATATGAAAAAGGACATGGAAAAGGACTTTTCCACCAGTCCTTTTGGTGATGGTTTTTTGAGATAGGTCTTGAAACTTATTTGCCTGGGCTGGGCTTTGAACTGTGACCTTCCTGATCCTCGCTGCGTCCTAAGTAGCTAGGATTACTGATATGAGTCACTGGCACCTGGTTTCCTCTCGGAATTCTTGATGTTGGATTTTTTCATTAACTTTTCTCCAGGTCTCTCAGCCCCTTCTTCCTTTCCTGTTTCTCTTCCTCTCCTTACAATCTCTTGTTATTCCCAATTTTACCGTCTGGGCACAATTCTGTCTGCAGATGGCTATCTTGTGGTTCATCTGTTTTTAAAATTATACACTTTCAGATTCTAAAGACCTTAGCTTTTCAGATCTATTTCCCTTTATCAACAGTGTCATTTTGTCTTGTGGTTTATGCCTTAAGCACCCCAGTCATCTTTACACACTCTCATTCCATAGTTACTCAATTACTATTGAGTTTGTGAAGATGCTAATCTTCAATGTTGAGCTTGACTGTGCTCACAATGGGCTGTTTTTAAATCCCATCTGAGTAGGGCTGTCTTTCATTTATGAGTATGATTTGCAGCTTGGGTTATGAGGTATGTTCTCCTTCTCCAACCAGGAGGTCCTGTCTTGTATACTTACGCAATAATTTTCAAAACCAAAGATTCTCAGGTATTTAGGATTTATATATTAAGATTTTCATTAGAACAAAGGGGATTATTGATAAAACAATCTTGCTGTTGAAATTCTGTGTTCCATCTTCTATAACCAAGTTGAAAAACCTCAAGTGATTAATCCTGAGGTGTTCAGAGGAAATAGTTAATTATGATAAACCATTCCTGCCAAGTACAATGCTTAATGGTGACAAAGGAAGATCAATTTGTTCTCTTACAAACCCTATGAGGCAAGTACTAGAAAATTTTCAAAACGCTATGTAATTTATTCTAGATTACAGTTGGTCAGGGACAGGATAAAAATTCAAATCCAGATCCATCTGATCCTAGGAATCCAATCACTTAAATCACCATTCACTCAACAAAAAGTTTACTGAGGAAATATGATGTGTCAGATTAAAGGGGCTGGGTCTGTTGGTATACAAAGCAGACATTTTCTTAAACCTTTCAAATTATTTGTGAAGGATCAGTTTTTCTTAATTTTCAATTTGTTGCAGATTAATATTTTTGTGAAAGAATAATACTGCAGCAACAAGTTGTTAAAAAAGTTTATCCTCACTTTATCCCTCCTTACTTTTTGTATTCAACTCTCTAAGGGCTGATAAAGAGTTTGCAGACCACTTTTTTTTAGTACTGGGGCTTGAACTCAGGGCCTTCACCTTGAGACACTCCACCAGTCCTATTTTTGTGAAGGGCTTTTTGAGATAGGGTCTCAGGAACTATTTGCCCGGGCTGGCTTTGAACCACCATCATCCTGATCTCTGCCTCCTGAGTAGCTAGGATAACAGGTGTGAGCCACCTGTGCCCAGCCAGACCACACTTTTGTGTATCTCTGCTCTGTCCTATATTGGCAGAACATTTGGGGGGCTTTGTGTATTTGTGTTATGGGGATAACTATGAGTGCATGACAAAATGGAGAAGATACTTCCAATAATAGTGGCTTGTATGTGTATGAAGAGGAAGAACTCCCTAAAGAGGGTATAATGAAGTAGTTTAGGTCGCAGCCCACCTAAGCATGTAAGCACAAAAGGGGGTATATATGACGGACTCAGGACATAGTGAAAGGCCCTGTAACAGTCTAACTTTATAGAGATCTGACAGTTCTGTTGAAGAAGGGGTACCATTACTTCCTTCCTCTACTGATCTAGTCCTCTGATCAGACAGGACAGTAGGTAAAGGCACAGTCAGAGCACTAATTGTAAGAGCTTTGGGAAATTTATTTGCATTTTTTCTTGCCTCATTATCCTGTTAACAATCGAATCACATAATACATTGGCATGCATGCTTAGGAAACAGCAAGCAACACTTCAATATTATCTTCAATGAAGCAGGAAGATAAAGCCAGACTCACATATTATTTGCACCATCATTCTCTTATTATGGAAAGCAGAGAACTGGTCACACACAAGGACACTTAGCATACTGAAATATAAAATACTCTACTTTCTTTTAAGAGTAAAAACTACCATTAACTTTGAGATCTGGAAACATATTCAGCATGTTTTATATGACATAAAAACAAAAATATATTCCTTTTTATAAGAAGACTGATTTCCAGGAATGAGTTTTAAGGTTCATCAAATGTTGTGTTGAATGGTCTAAATATTTACACACATCTTATAGCTACTTTCATCTAAAAGCATCTGAGTAAGTATGGCAACAACATTCAATATTTCGAAGTTTAAACTGAATTCTTCATCTCTAGACTCAAAACTACATTGTTTTCCTGTAATTATGGTTTACTGTAATCTCAATCCATTTTTGCAAAGACCATTCAACACATTTATGCTGCTCCAGTAATTACCATGCTACCCAGAAAAACAAGTGAACAGTTTATTAAGAATTAAATGAGGGTATGGAATGTGGTACAGTACAAGACACTCAAGATGGATATAAAAGTACTACTCACACAAAAATTAAACTTCTTATCAAAAAAAAATCACAAGACAAAAGAAAAAGCAATGCTATCAGTATAAACTAAGATATTTCATGCAAAACACTAAAAAATCCCCCCCAAACCCCAAGCTTCCAATAAACAAAAAGCTACCTGAAAATACTGTCATGCTAATGTATTAACCACAACATAATCATTCATGGAAAAACAACACAATCATTAAGCAATGGATTAGATGAAATAACACAGTTCCTAACATTGTGAACTAGACCACAATGACTTTACACAGCAATTCCAGATTCACTCATAGGGTGAGTAACATGGGCTAAGTGTTGAGAGATAAGGTCTGTAAATTTAAACCTTATAAATTCATATCATTATCTTCTAATGATAGACCCTAGAAGCTTAGAGAACCTGAAAAATTTATATAAAATTGGCATATTCCCTTTGTGTTCCAAGAAATGAATTCAGGATCATCTCTGCAATTATTAGAGAGCTGTATAAAAGCACTTCAAGGTCAGGATTTCACCTCCTAAATAGTGATCATAATTTACATCATAGAAACAACTCCAAAAAATGCATTTACGTTGATTAACTTTTTCAGGACAAGAAACATGACTTTATAGCACTGTATATACAAGTTACTGTAAAGGGTAAGTTTTATTTAGAGACTTAGACACTAGGTAAAATGTAAAAAAAGGTGAATTGGTACAGAGAGGGAAAAGTAAGGTCCTCATTTACAAAGAACTAAGTGGGCAAAAAACCTTTCCTTGACTTCTGAGGGGTTCCTATCAACAAGTAAAATAGACTGCCAGACAGTAATACATGTCTCTGTACCAAGATGCTTGAGTATGCTTCATGGAAAAGATTTTACATTAGAAAATAGCTAGAAATGGCATTTTATGGGACAGCAAATCCCTCCACAGCTGCCATACTGGATGCAAGCCTGGTTAATCTGTGATACAAAACCGACAGTATATCTGCAATTGGGTAGAATGTCACAAAAGCAACCCATGAGGAAAAAATTCCTATTTCCCCGCACTAGCCCATTTAGGAGGCCAAGAGAGGACTGAGAAACCTACACTTATGGTTCTGGGTTGAGTTCACCCATGATGTATAGTTTGGCTATAAATATAACAACAAAATCAAGGAAAAAAATACTTATGATTAAAAACTACCCACTCCTATTTGTTACTCTCCCCCTTTTAAATTGAGGGTAATTAGAACTGATTGGGAAATTATCCAGGATTACTCTTCTCAACTCTGAAATTAAATTTACTCCTTATTTACATTCCATGAAAGGAACAATGGAACTGTTCAAAAGTGGGATTTGGCCTCTAAAAAATAGGAGCGCTTGCTCTAGTTTTACAGAATGACAATGGAAATTTTTCCCAAGTGAAACCTAGAGTTTGAGGCAAGCAAAGAAGCTTCCTTAGCAATCAGGACCTATCATAGTTAGAACTCTTTGGAATGTGTGTCTTCTACATACAAAGGTATCACAAATTAAATCCCCAGAGTAGTTAGTCAAGTGAGAAAGATTTCTAATGAGAAAGAAATGCTTCCATCAGCAAATTAAACCTGATCAATAAATCTTTCCCAACTAAATTTCTACTAACAACTCAACATAGCCTCTGGAATCAACAGAAAGATCACTCAATCAGGATGATGCAAGATGAAATACAAATGAGCAACACATATGAGAACATTTTGTAAACCACTGCAGTTCTAAAACAGTAGATTTATATTATAAAGCAATGTAAATAAATATTGGGCTAGTACAAAAAGCTCTTATTTACAGTTTTACAAATGAAACTGTATTCAGTGTAAATGCTGTGTTTTTAAAGGACACAGTACTGAATTAGTAAAATGAGTTCTGTTGAGGGCATTACAGTTTCTGTTAGAATCAATGCATAATGTATAAAAGGTTCAAGTTAACTGTTTATAATTTAGTACAGACAAACCCAGTTTAACCTGGAATGGCATCTGTTAAAGTGCTGAAAAACAGGAAATATTTAGAAAACACTGTACATTATTAAAGCTTTATCAAGTCAGAATGTTAAACTTCTTTCACATTTTTATACTTTTGTTACAGGCTGTGTGCAAGATGAATTTTTTTCAGGAAAGCAATAAAACTGAGAGGCCACAAGTTGCTTCAGTGATTTTAGGTTCAGTGGAAATTAGTTTCCCATAACAACTATTTATCCATCAATCATACCTTCAGGCCTCACAATCTGGTAAGTAATTAAATATTCAGGATAAGCCTGGAAGAGAAAGATTAATTTAAACATTGGTAAACAAACGTTATTGAAAGATTAAGGAGAATTTCTGTGAGCACTCCTGATCTTTAGGGAGGAAATTCTAAATTAGTCTTGCAGATCAAAATCATCTAGGGGCATCATCTCAAAACATCCTCAACCTCTTCCCAATCCTTCAGATGCTCAATCAGCAGGTAGGGCTAGGATGAGGACTAAGTACATGTCTGCCTGTTTTCAGTAATGGAGGAAATTCTGTTGGCCTCATTCAGAATGCTGCATCAGACCAACTGTTCACTGGATCTTGTCACCGAGAGCATGAGGGAATTATGCATCTCTTTGCTACAGACAGCTTAACTATTCTGATTAATCATATTTTACAGAAGCAAAAAAGGAAACCCAATATAATTGGCAAGATTTGAATAAGTTAGATATATATTGATGTTTTTCTGACTGAAAATTAAAAAAAAATGTTACTTTACCATATATTTGTAACTTTTCAAACCTGAAATTATTTACAAATACAAAAAAATATTCAGGTTTTTTTGATATACTGGGGTTTGAATTCAGGGCTTCGTACTTATTAGGCAGGTGCTCTACCACTTGAGCCACTCCACCAGCCCAGTTTTTTGTTGGGTATTTTTGAGGTTGAACTATTTTATTTGCCTGGGCTGGCTTAGAGCCACAATTCTTATCTCTGCCTCCTGAGTAGCTACGATTGTAGGTGTGAGCCACTGATACTCAGCTTAAATATGCAGTTCCTAAGGCAATATGCCTTCATAATTGAAGAGATTCATGAAGGTTAAATAAAGTATGACTCTATAGCATTTGTTCATTCATTCATTTATTTTTTTGGTGCTTGGGTTTGAACTCAGGGCTTGGAGTTTGCTAGGCAGCTGCTCTAACACTTGAGCCATGCCCCCAGTCCTTTTTTGCTTTAGTTTTTTTTTTTTTTTCAGATATACTCTTGAGTTCTTGCCTAAGGCTGGCCTCAGACTGCAATCCCTCTACCTATGGCTTCTCCTGTATAGCTGGGATTACAGTTGAACCCCTCCATGCCTGGTTCATTTGCTGAGATGGGTCTCACTAAACTTTTTGCCTGGGTTGGCCTCAAACTGCCATCCTCCCAATCTCCCTTCTGGAGTAGTTGGCATTACAGGCATGGGCCACAGCATTTTTGAAGATGAACAAATAAAACTGAATTACCTGTTCTCCTCTGTAAATAACATATTCAGCTAATGCTAGGCCATTTACACTAGGCCGGCCTGTGACGGAGTGATGACCTGGAGGTGAATGTGCCATTTTCATTGCACTGAATTGCAGGAAAGACTTTCCCAAGGTTACCCGGCAAAAGAGCAGTTGCCTAAAACATGAAACAGAAAAGATCAACCTGAAGACAAATTTGATGCACAAACATGACAATTTTTATTTGTCCCAATACACTGACTGAGCTTATGGTGACTGACTATGGCACCAACTGACAACAAGTACAGACTTTTGAGCAGAAGATGTATATTTTTTTTGGTGGCACTGGGGTTGTAACTCAGGGTTGTACGCTTGCTAGGCAGGTGCTCTTACTGCTTAAGCCACTCCTCCAGTGATAATTTGTATTTGTGTACATTGTGTTAAGATTTTAAAATATATTTATATACAAATGATGGTTGTTTTTAGCATTTTACCTTCAAAAGAACTTTGTAAGAATGTCTGCTATTCTTAATTTAGCTAAAGCTTTTTTTTTTGGTGGGATTGAACCCAGGGCCTCTGGTATGTTAGACAAATGCTATAGCACTGAGCTATGCTGCAAACCCTTTTTAATGTATTTTATTTTGTGACAGGGTCTCACTGAGCTGTCCAGATTGACCTTGAACTCATGATTCTCCTGCTTCAGCAGCCCAAGTAGCTGGGATTCCAGGCATGAACCACCATGCTCACCTATTTAATCTTAACTATAAAACCCAAAAAATGTAATTGCTTTATAGAGATTCAGACTACAATTTTATCTGTACCTCAGCAAAAACACAAATCATAGGTAGGTCAAGTGGGGAAGAGGAGGTTTAAGGAGCCTCTGTTTCTATTCCAATTCCTGTGCAAACCGCTTTCCATCCAAGCAATCAATGACTAAAACAAACAAACCAGATCACTTTTCTGCCTCAGTGTGCCTAGAAGAAAATCCAAATGACTTACGGTGGGCAAATTTCTCTAATCCCATATTTGCTTATTATGCCCAGAACACACTAATTTTCTTCACAAAAGCCAACTTCCTCTCTTCGTGCGTCCATCTATCGGTTTTCTCTGCCATCTAGAATGCATCCATTTTGCTGCTCCGACTCATCTTAGGCTTTAGCTGCAGTGTTCGTTCCTCAGATAGGTCTCCCATTACCACCAATTCATGCAGATGATTCTCCCACTTCCCCAGGCATGTAATTGACTTTCTTCAGTTCCAAAAATCCTTTCTTTCCAGCCCCATATAATCTTAGAATCTTTGGACCATCCTGGGATTTGAACTCAGGGCCTCTCACTTGCTAGGCAGGTGTTCTACCACTTGAGCTATGCTCCCAACCCTTTTTGTTTTAGTTATTTTTCAGCTACAGTATTGATTATTTTTGGCCTGGGCCTGTTTAGACCAACTTTATACCTCCTACATAGCTCCTACTTTACACCCCCTACATAGCTGAGGCCACAATGTGTGCCACCATGCTCAGTTTACTGATTAAGATGGGATCTTGCTAATTTTTTGCCCAGGCTGATCTTAAGACTATGATCTTCCCATTCTTCGCCTCCCAAATAGCTGGAATTACATGTATGAGCCACTGTGCCTAACATTTTTTTTTCTTTATTGGGACAGGGTCTTGCTATGCTGCCCAAGCTGGCCTCAATCTCACTATCCTCCCAAGTAGCTAGAATTACAGGTGTGCATATAGCACCAGCTCTACTCAGCATTCTTTAAACACCAGGTGTTCTAATGACTTATCTAGGTCAAGTGCTTAGAATCATGCTGGCCCATTCAGATCATTTAGAAAATATTTACTATTATAACTGACGAGAGGGCAAAAAACAGCTGAAAACATACTTAGTCTGGATCCCTGAAGTTGTCGGACCTAATGCTCCCTCAAGTGTCTTAAATATACAACCAATCCTTATCTGGTTCTTACCAAAATAAATGAGAAGTGATCTCTTACCTGTGGCAAATGTAACAAGATCTGTCTTTGTGAATTGGACATCCAGTACCTCCTCCAATTCCATATACATATTGATTGCTTTTGGAAGAGTTTTCAGCAAAATAAATCCCAGCTCCAAACATGCCACCTATGTATGCATGCCTTTCATCAAAGCCTTTATGGATAATTGCATTGACAAAGGGAGACCCTGAAATACATATAGATAGGTAACAACGTCTCTTAGATCCAACCCAGTGCTTCATGCATATTGGCTTCACTGAGAACTTCACTTAGCCATATACCCAAACCTAGAAGTTAGATTCTTAAACACACACCGCCAAAATGAAGCTAAAACAAAAAAGAATAACAAGTTAACCGTCAGCCAGTTTCCTATCAATTCCCAATTTCAATTAATAATAATTTCTAATAGGGTGATGGCTTAAATGCCAAAGTTAGAGCAGACTGAATCAGAAAAAGATTACTTAAAGTATCAGTGCAAGAGTTCCCAAATTCCAGACTTCCCAAAATATACAAATCCATATCCCATGTCTCCTATCACCTTCTGTAGCAAGGCTGAATGCAGTTAGGCCTGATAATGTTTCTCATCTGTATACTTTTTCTAGATCTCAAAAGCAGCCGAAGCAGCCTGTCCTATTCTTATTCTCTTCTACCCTTCCACTTCTCTTTCATCACTTGCTATACAAGATTCCATCTGGAAATGCAGTAGTTTCCTTTCTTCCTTGAATGTATTCCAAGAGAAGTGGCTTAGCCAAAGAACAGGCACCGGGTGAGAAACGGGCCAATGAGTACAGTGAGGGTGAGGGCTGGGAAAAGTCAAACTAACACAGCAAGGTGATTTATCAAAGTCAGTGTCCCTATTCCTCAAGAGACACAAAAATACATTGAACTCCATTTTATAGAAATACAGATGAATAGAATCACTTCTTTGAATTAACTTGGAAAAACCAAAACCATTTATTTATAGTCTAAAATAGAAAAAGCACTCATCATAACCATCAAATTAATAAATACTATGCTCTGTGCTAGGTAATATTTAGGTATTTGCAAAGGAATCCATTCTGGTCATTCCTTCAGGGAATGAAGTAAAATCTGTTCTACTTTTTTGCAGTAGAGATTGAACCCAGGGTCTTGTGCATGCTAGACAAGTGCTCTACCACTGAGCTACATCCCCAGTCTGGGATTATGAAATTTAAATACTGTGTCTTATAGGCACTGTATAGAGGACTTTATAGGCCTCTAAAATTTCTGCAGTCAAGGACAAATGAAGGAACAGACTGAAGCTACTATGGGTAATATGCGTGAAGGCTTGATAGAACGATACATTAATATCTACATAACTTTTCTATAAAGTTGAAAGACCAACCAACACATGACAGTTTGTGAAATTAAAAACCAGGAAATTTCAAGTATGATAAATAATGATGCTCTCAATTCAACAAGAATTATCAATAACCTCTACAGGTCTAATGACAATGATGCTTTTTCTTCTTTTTGGTGGGACTGGGGTTTGAACTCAGGGCTTCATGCTTACAAAGGACAATGAGTCTTTTAACACTGAAGTTAGGGGTGGAGGAATGGCTCAAGTGGTAGAGTGCCTGCCTAGCAGGTGTGAGACCCTGAGTTCAAGCCCCAGTGCCACCAAAAAAGAATAAAAAACGAACACTGGTTTAATTCTGGTTTTGACAAGATTAAAATCAAACAGGATGCATACATTCTTCAGAGGTAATTTCCAGTTAAAAGTAAAACACAAATTCTCAGTGATCATAATAGGCAAAATCTACTACAAAGAAAAAAGGAAAACATTCCTATTTCTACACTTTGTTCCATTACAATAATCTTTTTTTTTTTTTTGCAGTACTGGGGTTTGAACTCAGGTCCTGCGCTTTGAGACCCTCCACTAGCCCTTTTTTGTAAACAGTATTTTTGAGATAGGATCTCGAGAACTGTTTGCCTGGGCTGGCTTTGAACTTCGATCCTCCTGATCTCTGCCTCCTGAGTAGCTAGGTCACAGGTGTGAGCCACTGGCATCTAACTTCCTTTATGGTAATCTTACTTATAAAACGTACAAATCCAAAACAAGTTGAAAAAAATGAACACAAGTGTACAAGTTACAGAAATAATGTTTATTTTAAAAACTGATATGAAAAATATACAGATTCACTATTGTGTCATACCTGCCAAAATCTACACTAATGTGGAGGAGGCTGGGGTAGAGTTGGAGAGAGCACTCTTACCATGAAAGAGCATCCGTTCGTTCGCATGATTGTGGTTTTCTTCAGATACCTCTTTTCTCCGGTGTGTATACCTTTCCCACAGTTTCTTGTTACAAACCTTCTGAATCTATGAAACCAGAAAAATCAAATTGGTAGGTCTTAATGATTACCTACTCTCTTTTGGCCACATATTAGCCAGAGGAAAGGCAAAACTTTTTTCTGAAACATAAAATATGTATTTTTTAGTTAACTAAAAATATTTTGTCTTAACCATAAAATTGGAAGTATACCTACATTTTGGAAATCAAAACTTCAAAGAGAAAAAGGATACACATGGCCATAGGTGAAAGCATCAAAAATACTCACTGATTAAAATTTAAAAATCACTTAAGATAAAAATTATTACTAAATCTTTTAAAGTACCATGAAATCAGACATGTTGAGTTCTGTATGTATTAGAGAATATTATCTCCCTTCCCCCATTTTATCTAACTCAAAGTATCATCTTAGTCTGTTTTTAATAAAAAATGTTTGAAATGGCCACAAAAAAACATCTATCCATACACGTGCATGCTCTCAATCCCTCCTTCACTCCCTTCTATTACTCCTTTTACCCTCTAGTTTCTAAAATTTTTGTCTGAAGATTTAAAGATGGATACTGGTCTCATTAGAAGTACATAAAATGACAATCCCAGTGCTCTTAGCTGTGTTAAAGTTGCTACAGCCCCCTGGTGGTCCCTAGAGCATACCTGAGACTGGTAGTTTTAGTTTTATCTCAAGATAATTCAAAGTACTGCCACAGATATAATCAAGGACCATAACTAGCCTAAACATTTATCATTTATGTATATAAAAGGAATAAAATTAAAATCATTTTCTCACTGAAAAAATTTCATTACATTAAAATACCTTCATAGAGAAAAACAGTGTATCTTTTTGAAATTAAACTACAGTACTTTAGAAATCAGTCTTTTTCCTGCTCTAACTCTTAACAAACCTCTATATTTAAGTATGATCCCTTTACCTGAATAATCAGATGATCTCAATCATCTGATTTCTGATAGCATGACCACAGCAAGATCAATGAAGTTTTAATATTCACTAATTCTAGAAGTTGAATCTAATATTATATACTTGTAATAATATTGTCCATTAAAAATTTTTAAATTTATGTATTAGGAAGACCTTTGCCATGTTGATTCTATCTATAACTTTTAATACAAAATCATTATGCATTTCGAGAATGGTATACATTAGGGGCTATGTTAACCTAAAGCACACTTTGATTATAGTACTACTTACAATTATGAAAAACTATTCACTTTCTCACCTTTATTTTTAAATAGTGCTCTGTGCAAACTTATAAAAAGTAATTTATTATTGACAGAAAAGTAATATAATCTAAGCAAAATATTAAGGGAATAGGATCTGTATGCATCTGAATTCTGCAAAATAACAGGGAGCCTAAGATAAAACAAGGCAGCATTGAATGGATACATTAGCTCCCATGGCAAACTTGGTACCAGTTTTCAAAATGGACACTAATGAAAATAAAGAGCCATGCTTCTTTTTTTTTGTGGGGTGTGTGTGTGTGTGTGTGTGTGTGTGTGTGTGTGTGTGGAGAATGGTGTATAGTTTTTTGATAGCTTAAGAAAACTAGCAACATTGGAAAAGGTCCTGAGAAGAGCACTGAAATCAGTAAGACAGAACTCTCACAGAATGACTCAAAAAAATTTTATTTTTTCATTTTAATTTTACATTTTTTTGAGTCATAATGGTGTTTGACTCAGGGCTTGCTTTTGGCTAGGCAGGCACTGTACCACTTGAGCTACTCTCCCCACCCCCATCCTTTTTGGTAGGGTCTTGCTGCTCTGTGTGGCCTCGAACTGTGATTCTCCTACCTTTGGTCTCCAGTGTACCTGAGATCATAGGCATGAGCCATGATTCCAGGCTTATTGATAGAGATGACATCTTGCTAATTGTTTGCCTGGGCTCTGCAATCCTTCCAATCTCCACCTCTCAAGTAGTTAGGATTATAGGTGTGAGCCACCATGCCCAGCCTCAAAACATTTTTAAAAGACTGCTTTTTGGAAAACAGTAAGAAGTACTATTAAAGTTTATTAAAAATGATATGCCTGGGGACTCACAAAAATCTGGAGCAGTCAGGATTAAAAAAAATTGCATGAAGCCAGACTTACAATTACTCTGGAACTAGTTGTAGCTACATGGCTACTTAAGAGGCTGAATTGGGAGGATCACGTGAGCTCAGAAGTTTGAGGCCAGTGTAGGCATCATGGCGAGACAACACAGAAGCATGGTATTACTTTGAAGGTGGAGTTACATAAAAATGCAGCTTTTAAAAATAATAAATTACATTAATAGCAGCTTATATACTTAAAGTCCTGAACTTACAGAATTTATCATTATCCTGAGGTAAATGATAGAACTTCTAAATTTAAATATGGTTCAATAAGAGATGACTTACTAAAGGGTTATTAAAAATAGTACAGGGATATGGAGGATTTTACCTATGGCAGGATACATTCTTTCTCCAAATAGTGACTGTTGCCATACCAAAGAACCATTGTGCTGGAGAGATCATCATTATGTTCTTATCAAAGCTGCTCATAAGTAATTTTAGGCTTTGGAAACTATGATCTCAGGAAACTTTATTACCTTGAGAATATTGTATCTATTGAAGATGCCACCAGCATGACCACCATCTCTGTGCTCTCGGACTGTACTTTGCATCTGATGAAGAAATAATTTTAAACATGTGCATTAACTTTTATGACTTTTCTCATTTGGGGAAACACAGTTCTTGATTCATCTAACTTTTGAGAAAACAGGTTTTTAAAATTTTTGTTGTTGAAAGGGTATGAATTCTATAAATTCAAGAATATGATCTTCTAGAAAGAGTCAATCATCCTAACAATGTTATTTATAGGCAAAAATAACATAACAAAAACTAAAGGAAGAAAAGAGAATGGAAGGCGAGTTATTAGGCTAACCACTTAACAAACTAAAAAACAAAACTGATTTGTTCCCATGATTTTAGTCTAATAAAGTGCAATATGTATTTCACTGAGAACTGGAGTTTCTTGAATTTTAGAACTAAGTCCCACTAAACCTTGTATCTCTGCTCAACTCAGACACACAGGGCACGTGAACCATCAATGTGTAAGGAGGCATTGTTCAAAGATTTCCGGGAATCTGAGAGCTAGAGTAAATTTTCCTGTATAAACAGTATCTACACAGGTGGGTCTTGTCATGAATCCTGGGCTTTGCAATGGCCCTCATGAGAGGAACGAACATTAGCACTTGCTTTTGAATGATGGCAACCTCTTGTTCTATTGGATTTTGGGTCAGTATTAATTGTGGTGTTGAACACATTACCTGGAATTAAGGTTTCCTGAAAGAGTGTATCTGAACTCTTAAATATATTCAGAATTTTCCTGGCAGTAAAAAGAGACACTCTTAAACACCACACTGCAAGTCCAAGCAGATCTGGAAACCTCTGGACCAACAACCTGTGGAGCTGGCCTGTCGTCCCACTGATTTAAGGATATGAGCATACCTCTTCCTCCACAGACTGAAACTCCTTATCATCAGGAGACAGGTCTATGAGAACTGTTCCACTACCAGAGGTGTTCAGAGTTAAATATGGGTTAAGACCTATGAAATGAAATTTGAAGGTAAAAAAATGGTTTATAACACGCCACCAATCAAAAATAACCACCCGATTTATCAATGCTTATTACTAATTTAAAATACTTATAATTTTAGAATAATTTAGATTTTATACGGAGGCTGAAAGCAAAGAGTTCCTGTGTATCCTTCACCCAACTTTCCCTTTGGTTATATACCACTTCATTTTTTGGTGGGACTGAGGTTTGAACTCAGGGCTTTGTGCTTGCAAAGCAGCACAAAGCTCTGTTTGATCATGACTGTAGTCCATTTTTTTCTTTTTTTCTGTTTATTCTAAAGATGGAGTCTCATGAACTATTTACCTGGGATGACCTACACGATCCTCCAGATCTTAGCCTCCCAAGTTGTTAGGACTACAGGTGTGAATCACCGGTACCTGGCTGTATTTCACTTTATATGATCACAATACAAATGTCAAAATTTATTAACTAACACAGGCTTCATTTGGATTTCAATAGTTTTTCCTACTTATGCCCCCTTTCTCTTCCAGATCAAAACCAGAATACCATATTGCATTTAGAATATTATATATATATATATATATATATATATAGTTATTATTATTTTTGGTGGTACTGGAGCTTAAACTAAGGGCCTTGTGTTTGCTAGGCAGATGCTCTGAGACTCCTTGAGCCATGACCCACCCCAAGACTAACTTTTTTCCCAAGACTAATTTTTAATCTGACAAGTTATAAGGATTTTGTGGGAATATTTCAGAAAATCCTTTTCTTCTATATCTTCTATTCTTAATGAGTTTCTAACACATTTTCTTCAAATTGCTTCATTTTCTAACTACTCATTCAGCATTTAATCTTTTTGTCTTATGCAAATATGAGGAAGAGTTACAACAAAATTAAGCAATGTTGGTAGGAATATGGAGACCATATGTAAACTATTTTACAGAGAAAGGACTATGCTAAAATGTTTGACTAAGGAACCTACAACCTGACCAAGAGGTTCATCAGTAGTGAAAGATCAGTACAAATAAACTAATGACTTGATGCACTGAATAATAGGTAAGGATGGTAAGACAATAATATGAGAGACTATCAGAAGATCCTGATAGGCAGCTGATGGTTCCATTTTGCAAATCAGGTGTGTACGGAATCTTGGCTTCAAATAAAGACCAAGAAGGTAGTGTATCTTTATACAGGGAAGTGACTCTGATGTGCTAGATCAGATACAGACACTGTCTCTTAACACTATGCTTCTCCTCCATTTAGTAAAGAATGTTCCTACACAATTGTAGCTGGAAGTATCAGAGTGAGTACAGGACCAGAGATGGCATGGAGGTACCTCTGCCACTTGGAAGCAGTATATCTATTTCCATCACTGTTTCCTGAGGCTTTCAATGTAGACATAATAGCTAGGATGTGTTTAATTGTACAAACCCTGCTTGCTTTCTTCTATTTACTCAGCTCCTTCCTAAAAGCTCCTTGTTACCTCAGTACTCCATAATTGCTGTATCATTTCAGATGGGTATTATTCCTGTAGTCACAATGGCAGTACACAACTGGGATTCTCTTTCTTCTTCATTTTTTTATGCTAGCTGTATTATAAACTAGTATCCTGGGGAATCATGAGTTTTTTCATCTTTTTATCTTATAAAAAGACATAGCCAACATTTCTCACATTTTAAATATTTTGCCTTCGTCTCCACCTGGTGAGTAAAATACACTTACTTTTAATTGCATTCTACACTACCAGTTTAAAGCAGCATTCTTTAGCTTGAAATCACCTAAAGTTTTAGAAGTGCTGTTTTTTTCTCAACAGGCAGACTCCATCCTGGCCAGCATACTTTCTTCCCTGAAAATCCCTTCTTTTTTACTAATAATGCTTCTTTTCAACCCTAGCTGTGCTTTAGTTATAGGATTTTTTTTTTTTTTGTGGCTTCAGGGTAAATTACTCCCTCAGTTTAACATTGAAGTTAAAATGTGGGTTTGATAATTAAAATAATTCACCTTTTTTATACTTAGACCTGGAACACAAAAAGTATTGACCTTTGTTGAGTAAAAACAATGTTTACTTTCCTTAACCCCCCAACACTAAGGAGAAATAAAAATATTATCCAATCTTGTTTTGTTTAATTTCCTCAGGTGCAACATTATTCCGTTCCAGTATTTTCATTCCAAATGTTTACAATTTTAGCTATGTAAGACATTTACTACCTTATTTTATGGGCTAGCCTAATACCTACTCATTATCTATTATGCTAGCTTAAGATACGCAATTCCTAGGTTTCAAATCTTCTACAATCACAAGCTAGGTACCAGTGGCTCACGCCTGTAATCCTATCTACTTGGGAGGCTGAGATCAGGAGGATCACATTTTGAAGCAACAGGGCAAAGATCCCATCTCCAAAATAACCAGAACAAAATGGGAGGTAAGACTCTTAAGTGGCAGAGTACCTGCTTTGCAAAGACTGAGTTCAAACCCCAGTCCCACAAAAAAACAAAAAACCCACATAATTTTAGAGTTAGAATAACTTCAGAAATCACTTCATCTATCTTCCCAATTATCAGGAGTTAAAAAAATTCACAAATTTCTGCAAAGTCTAGAGATTTTACTTAGGTTTATGTAATTAATGCCAGCAGTCCAAGAAGTTTAACAGTTAGCAGATGCCTTGATCCCAGGCGTCCTGAATCCTAGTTAGTGGTCTTCCTATTAAACAGATTCTCTCATACAGACTTTTAAATATCATTAGTACACTGACGGCTGTCTTTATATAACTTTTAAGCTGACAACAATAATTAGTAAAATGAAATACCTTGCTGTCCAGAGATAAGTCTTTCGACTCCTTTAATTAGTTTGTGTCTATGTCCATAAGCATTGATTCCAATCTCTTTGAGTTCCTTGTGCCCCATCTCAACTAATACATCCAAAGTGATCTTATAAAAGAGGATAAAACTATTTAGAGTGCTTACTCCTTTCAGAGGACATTCATATATTAGTATTCTCATAATGAATTACAATTATTATTTACTTCAAATTCGTTTGAACAGCTCTGGCATGAAATCAAACCATTTGTTAAACTGAAATCAACTGAAAATAAAAGTTGGAATAAAATAGAAAGCTGAGTCATAAATGCATTTTCAAATTAACCACAAAGTCTTCCATGGTTCCTCCAGAAGCTGAACTCTGCTAAGTGGTATTTCTGCATCACTGTTCAAATTAACTTTTATCTAAAATGTATTATTCATGAAACTGAAGCAATTCAAACATTTTTATACATCTTCTACGAAGCTATCCTTAAGTAGTTCAGTTCACGGTAATCTTTTCCTTCTTTGAATTTCTGATATCTATGCTAAACTTCTTCATATGTTCTTTTCTAGCTTCATTACTAGACTGAAAGTTCCACTGGGTACAAGTCTACAGTAACTATATTTTCTGAACAACAACAACAACAACAAAAATCAGTACAAAAATCAGTACAGATATTCTGACAAAATATTTTATGCTGGAAATACAGATAAAAGCCCAGAGGTATGACTGGTTTATCCATACTCCTGTCCATAGAACTAGCAAAGTGTCAGGCTTAGAGTGGGTACTGATTAACAAAACAGAACTGAATAAACAGAGCTCAAGGATAAGTTACCTCAAGGACTGAGTAAGATAATTTTGTCACTGGAGTGAATTTTTAGATCTAATAAAGTGAAAATTCTAAGATCAAGCAAAATTAGAAGAGCAACTGACTTCTTGTCTCTCAAAAAGCACTCTCAGTAGAGTGTCGCTCACTGGTGGCAGAGAGCACAGGTTTAATACCCAGCACCACACAAAAACAAAAACGCGCTTTCTTCAACAATTCACAAGGTTCAAGAGATTTCAAGTTTTTCTCCAATTTTCCTTAACTTGAGTTCCCATACAATACTACAGTATTCATCTACTTACCTGCTCTCTCTCAAATATCTCCATGAGATGCTCAAGTCCAAGATTTCTTACGAATTGAGTTATGCTAAAATCTACTCCTGGAACTGGGAGATAATAAAAAAAAAATCAGGACAAACAAAATTTCACATCAGAATAATGTATGTCACCACTATAAAGATCAAGTTTTATGATGTTAACTCTATTTGTGAAGAAAATAAAGATAAAGCAAAATATTGACAGTCCTTTAGGAAAGAATACTCAATCGAAATTCACAAAAAACAAGACCTATAAAATTTCTAACGTTAGAGAAAATGGTTAGCTAGTGGAGCACTGTGATTTTTTTAAAAACTTATTTTTAATCTTATCTTTAAGATCAGTGATCTCTTTCAAGCTATAAGATCCTTTACAACAAGTTTGTGAAAAGAAGTTTCACATCTTTGCATAGAGTGAGATGAATTTTCACAGGTGAAAAGTTTACAATTAAACAGCAGGTCAGCAGCATAAGAATCATAAACTTCCAACTTACAAGGAGAAAGTTTCATTAGGAGTTTCATTAATAATGGAGGCATCATTAACATTAGGCTACATTAATTTGATAATACATTAATATAATACTACATTAATTTAATAGTTGTATTTAAGGTTAAAAAATGACTTTCTACCATTCTAAATGACAAATACAGGGTTATAATATCAGTTAAAAAATTATTTTTACAGAATGTCTTACCCTCCTTTCTCTCCAAACTGGAAGCACCCTCTGTTCCACTTGAACTAACTACTGAAGACAGTTCAGAAAAACTCCCAGATAGGTTGTCAAGACTGCTCGCTGCAGAAAGGCTTGATGGGCTAGATGGACCAGAAGACAGAGCATCTGCAGTGGCTCCAGGGCTTCTCACACTATTGAGCACTTGAGGTTTATAGCATGAAGGCAGAGCAGAAGGAGGCATGGCTGCTGTCAGGAGAGCGCTGACATCATCTGCCTAGGATACATTTCAAATAGAGATGAAATCTGTCAGAAGCAAGTTTTAAAATTCTATTATACCTAACAGGATTGCATATGAAAACTAATAAAACCCAGCAAAAGTACACTAGGACTGTTATCATGGGAACACTGAGAGGTACTTGATTATTTTAAAGTGAAGCAAACAGGTTAATGCTTACCTAAATTGTTATTAAATATAAAAAACAATTCAGAACATCTCTTCCATATCATATATAATTGAAATAAAACTTAAGTGTGGCAAAGCATAAACAAACTCTTAACTTTGATACCCTGATTTTAAGGCACTGCAATGAACTACAGAAATACCAATTTTAAAAGATAATGACTTTTAACCCTATTGCAATTACTCTGAAATAACGTAATTCAACCTATACAGAACTTCGGCACCGAGAATTATGCCTATATTTCACATACTTTATGATATATTTGTTCCTCAAAATTGAAAAAAAAATTTTGGGGCAACAATCATTTTAATCAAATCTGCTAGGATAGAAAAAAACCCCCAAATTTCCTGGTACATTATATTTATTTCATTAGCAACATAAATCATTCTTTTAGAATTCTTGATTAAGACACTAACATTCAGCAGAAGTAAATCAGTACTTGTTTTCATGGTTAAGTCCAATGCCTACTCCAATCCTCAATTTGTGCATTCTCGTGGTACTCACAGTTTGCACATAACATTTGTTTATAGTAACAATATTACTTATTTGGTGCTTTCTATATACCTGATACCATGCCAAGGACTTTAAATAGGTTACCTTATTTAATTCATATTGACAGATATATTATCCCTTATAGATGATGTATCTAAACCTTAGAAGACTGTACAAGTGCAAGTGGGAGAGCTGGAATTCTAGAACAGGTCTGCTTGGCTCTAAAGCTCATGCATGTTCACTAAAGCATTTTGTTTCACTGTCACTTATTATATCTGGTGAATGAACATAAGGGTGGAATGAAGTCTAAAACTTCACTTCTAAAGCAGCCTGGATCTGAAAAGACACTTCCGTAAAGCAATCATGTTGCAATTATGGTTTGGTTGTCAGCCTGCTGAGGAAAATCTATTCAAACCCCAGATGCTAATTCAGCTTCTCACTGTAGTTTGGAACAGTGGGATCTCTCTCAGCAGAAAGCAATATGCAGAAGAGACTCTTTTTCCTTCCTACCTCAAAAGAGTTTCTTCTTCCTTTTACTTTACTGCTCTGGTCAGTGCCCTCAGTGGCAGTGGCAAGAGAGGCACTTGCACTTGTGTCCAAGTGGCCAAAGCAGAGGTGGAAGCTACAATGGAGGATCCTATATGAGCTCCAGAGGGAAAGGAATTAAAAACAGAAATGAAAACAAAACAAGTACCAGGCTTGTTTCATGAGCAATTCTGGTGGGATATGCAACAAGAACTTTGGGATGAAGAAATGTGGGAGTAAAGGGGATCTTTACTGATGGTAGGCTTTGTGGCTGGCACCTCAAGGGCACTGATGCTAGTTGGGGAAGTTCTTAAGAACCATGGTCTATGCTACCTTGCACTGTAACAGTATTCATGGAAAACCTGGGCCTGTTTTGTTTTCCAACTACTGTTAAGAAGTTATAGTAGGAAATACTCTGGAATTAGTAGGTATAGGTAAGAACTTTCTCAACGAAACCCCAGCAGCACAGAAACTAAGAGATAGCATAGATAAATGGGACTTCATAAAACTAAAAAGCTTCTGTTCATCAAAAGAAATGGTCTCTAAACTGAAGAGAACACCCACAGAGTGGGAGAAAATATTTGCCAACTATACATCAGACAAGGGACTGATAACTAGAATATATAGGGAACTTAAAAAACTAAATTCTCCCAAAACTAATGAACCAATAAAGAAATGGGCAAGTGAACTAAACAGAACTTTCTCAAAAGAAGAAATTCAAATGGCCAAAAAACACATGAAAAAATGCTCACCATCTCTAGCAATAGAGGAAATGCGAATTAAAACCACACTAAGATTCCACCTCACCCCTGTTAGAATAGCCATCATCAGCAACACCACCAACAACAGGTGTTGGCGAGGATGCGGGGAAAAAGGAACCCTCTTACACTGTTGGTGGGAATGTAAACTAGTACAACCACTCTGGAAAAAAATTTGGAGGCTACTTAAAAAGCTAGACATTGATCTACCATTTGATCTAGCAATACCACTCTTGGGGATATACCCAAAAGACTGTGACACAGGTTACTTCAGAGGCACCTGCACACCCATGTTTATTGCGGCACTATTCACAATAGCCAAGTTATGGAAACAGCCAAGATGCTCCACCACCGACGAATGGATTAAGAAAATGTGGTATCTATACACAATGGAATTTTATGCAGCCATGAAGAAGAATGAAATGTTATCATTCGCCGGTAAATGGATGGAATTGGAGAACATCATTCTGAATGAGGTTAGCCTGGCCCAAAAGACCAAAAATTGTATGTTCTCCCTCATATGTGGACATTAGAGCAAGGGCAAACACAACAATGGGATTGGACTTTGAGTACATGATAAAAGCTTTAGCAGACAAGGGAGGGGTGAGGATAGGTAAGACACCTAAAAAATTAGCTAGCATTTGTTGCCCTCAACGCAGGGTAACTAAAGCAGATACCTTAAAAGCAACTGAGGCCAATAGGAAAAGGGGACCAGGAACTAGAGAAAAGGTTAGATCAAAAAGAATTAACCTAGAAGGTAACACACACGCACAGGAAATCAATGTGAGTCAATGCCCTGTATAGCTATCCTTATCTCAACCAGCAAAAACCCTTGTTCCCTCCTATTATTGCTTATACTCTCTCTACAACAAAATTAGAAATAAGGGCAAAATAGTTTCTGCTGGGCATTGAGGGGGTGGGGGGGAGAGGGAGGAGGCGGAGTGGGTGGTAAGGGAGGGAGCGGAGTCGGTGGTAAGGGAGGGAACAGCGTGGGTGGTAAGGGAGGGGGTGGGGGCAGGGGGGAGAAATGACCCAAGCCTTGTATGCACATATGAATAATAAAAGAAAAAAAAAAAAAAAGAAGTTATAGTGTTCTTTTTCTTATATATATATATATAATTACTGATTAATAATTCTGTATTATAATTAACAATTCTACATTAGTGTAGATTTTACAATTCTAGATTAATGTAGGATTATTGATTAGTATTTCTATTATTTAGTTAACATATTTTTAATACCAAAGAATTCCTAAATTTAAGTTTGGGCTAAAAACCAGGTTTTGCCACATTCACTATGAAGACATTTTATATATACCAAGTGAATTTTAAAAGGTCAGGAGAGCATGAAGATTTTTCAAAGAGCCCATCACTTACTGAAACTAAATCTAAAGGTGTTTGTCCTTCCTGATTTTTAAGAGTAGGATCAGCTCCGTGGGCCAACAATAAAGCACAAAGCTGTGTTCGTCCCTTTTGGGCTGCTTCATGCAAAGGTGTGAAAGCCCACTTGTCCGTGGCATTGACACATGCATTGTACTTTATTAGTAAAGCTGCTACGTCTACATGCTGTAAAAGAAAATACTCCTGTTACAGTCTGATATATTATATTATCACACTTTAGTTCTCAAGAAGAAACTAGCTCTGTACCTACCTCTATATTTTCAAATTTTGTCTGGAAATGAAAAGTAAGCTGTTTCTTTCCAACACCGTAATTTATGGTTGCTTAAAAAACTACAGTAGAAATTTCAATAATTTGAGAGCTATCTAGAATAATAGTTAAGAATTCTACTTAGTAGGAAACTAAACTAATACACTTTTAATAATTTCTAAATTATTCATGTGTTGTAACTACTGAATATCAATTTAAAAATGAACAGCCTTCCTCAATTATTCAAACTAGACCACTGACCATAGTCAATACTGATCGTAACATTTAGGGTTGTTAAAAGTCAGGAACAATGCACCAAAATCTCTACAAATTCCTGTGATACCCTATGGATTTTCTGGACTCCAACTAAGAAAATCACCAACATCTCACTGAAAACAAGAGATAGGTGCTAAGGAAAATAATAAAACAAATGACAACAACAAATTGCTATGTCACACAGCAAGCTTAGAATGGATTCAGAACAAAAACTTGCAAGTTATTTAACTTTATATTTTCTTCTTTGTAAGATGAGACAAACTAAATTCCATTTGAACCATGATACTGATGTTCACTTTGAAAATTATAGATTTTTTTAATGGTTATCACAAAACTTACCCCATAAGATGCTGCATTGTGTAAAGGAATAAGTCCTCCTTTGTCCTGGGCATTCACGTCAGCTCCATGTTGCAACAAATACTCTGCAACTTCTAAATTATTATAACCAGCTAATTTAGAAAAAAAGTAATATTACTTTCAGTTTTAAATATTAAAAAATATAACCACATATATGTATATAGCTATATATATTTAGAAAGATATTACTAAAAATAGAAATTTTATACAAATCTGAAATTGTTGAGTCTATTAAAACTTCATCTTTTGGGATGTGGTGGTACATGCCAGCAATCCCAGCTACCAGGGGAGTGGAGATCAGGAGGACTGCAGTTTGAGGCCAACCCAGGCAAAAAAGTTAGTGAGACCCTATCTCAGCAACAAGCCAGGCATGGTAGTATGTGCCTGCAACGTAAGTTATATGGGAGGCATAGGTAGGCGGACTATGGTCAAACACCAGCCCCTATATGAAAAATAACTAAAGCAAAAAAGGGTTAGGGATGTGGTTCAACTGGTACAGTGCCTGCCTAGCAAGCATGAAGTAGTGAATTCAAACCACAGTACTGCCAAAGGGTAAAAAAAATCTCTGGGGAAAAACAATTCTGACTGGCTTATAAGCATTGAAAGTTTTTGGTGATAATATCCATTGGTTTTGGAGACTCCCAAAATTATATGGATTTGCTTGTATCTCTCCATTAAAAACCTTCCATTCCTGCCTTCATGTTTATTACATACAACTTTCTAAACTTAGGTCCATGGTCTCAAGGACTGCAAATCACAGGTATCCGACCATATAAAAGCCCAGTGAGGAATGTAAGTAAGTGCAACATGAAAGACAGCAAACCAGAGTGGGTCTCCGGGCACTTTTCTTCAGAAGGATGAAAGGACATGCTTTTTGCTACAGAGAACCTAGGGTCTGTATCTTCCAAGTCAGACAAAAGGAAACCTATGTGTTGCTAAAGTCTTGAAGTAAAGCTTTGTATTTTAGAAACATACATAATTTCCCAGTTATTATCTTGTCAGCCATCTCAGTAAATACTTTCATAGTAAAGTATATTTTATTTGACATATAATCATAAGACAGAATGCAAATTTGGAACTTAATTTTGACAACATAAGAAAAGCTATCATTTGAAACTTGAAAAATGGTTCAAAATATTTTATTCACATTTTTCGTTGTTGTTATCCTTTTGCTGAGGGATCTAAAACATGAGAATTTAAAACATCAAGTGAGAAAAACAAAAAACTATAAACCTACCATAAACTAAGTATTACAATAATCTAGAAGTCTTCCAGGTCTTAATGTACAGTACTTAATACTGTACAAGTAGGCAGAAATATCTTGTGTACACATTATGTTTGCAATTTCCAAAGACAACATGGACTTAAATACTAATGCTAAATTCTACATAAGCTACAAGATGTAAAAGAGAATATATATATGCACAGAACAATTTCCAACCAGAGCTCAGGTCATACAACCATGTATTGCATAGGGTAGAAATTGACAGAAAGTAGGAAGTAGTAAAGTTTTTGCTCACCACATTAACATTTATGAATTATAACTTCAAAAAGACACATGGATAGAGCAATTTTCTTTGGCCAGCGAGCTCCAAACTTAAGTGGAGTGAGAATTTAATAATAAAAATCACATAAAACCAAAATTACTCTTTTGGGGATCTAACCAAAGGCCTTGCATATGGTACACAAGGGCTCTAGTGTTGAGCTACACTCCCAGTTCACCAAAATTATCTTTTAAACATTAACAACACACTGAGTTATACTATAAGACTGAAATGAACTCAGAACAATTTTCTTTTCTTTTCCTTTTTCTTTTGCAGTACTGGGGTTTGAACTCAGGGCTTTGTACTTGCTAGCCAGACATGCTACCACTTGAGACATGCCCCCCAGATGGAGGTAACTGCATCTACCTGCAGTGGGGTATTAGCTCAGTGATTTTCACTGCTTATTTTCTAGTGTCTGCAATGCAGCTGAAAAAGTCATATAGAAACCACATCATTGTGTATGTGCACTAAAAACAATGGCACACCGAGTCAATCTTGTGAATGAACAGTTAGAATAAATGTTATTGACTGAATTTGATGTTAGAGCCTTTAAAGAGCTAATTAAGTTAAAATGAGGCCATTAGGGTAGTCCCTAATCTAATTTAACTAGTGTCCCGATAAGACTGGCTGATATTTGAATCTCAAGACTTCTAGTCTCTAGACCTGTGAGAAAATAAATGTATGCTGTTTAAGCCATCTGGTCTTTGGTTACGGTAGTTCTTGCAAAGTAAAACAAAAATAACTTTGCAAGAGGTTTATGTAACTTACATAACTTCTGAAAATCTTTATGATTTTTTTTGCTGCTTGTACTTTGTAGCAATCATCAGAAGAATGAAAAAGCTTTAGCTTCCTCTAAGGAAGGCTGGCTCAAGCAGGTATGTTTTTCAAAACTCACTCATCAAAGATGATTCAAACAAAACAGTGATCTCAAACAGAAGACCCCAAAGCACTGGTGAATTGAAATAGGCAGAGCCCATTTCAATTGTTCTTACTGAATGTAAAATACTGGTACTAAAGTGAACTGGGACTTAGCTAACAGCTTGAAGTATGGCTGCTCTGTATAAACACACTGAAGAGTATAATGGTGGTAAATCTGAACCAACTTTAGTCATTGAAACATTTAACTCAGGTAAAATGGATCTTAGATGTCATCAGCCTTAATCTGTAAAACTTCATTCACTTACCTGCTAAATGTAAAGGTGTAGAATGTCGGCCTTGGGTATCACGGCAATTTACATTATCGGATGAAGACAACTTCTTCACTCTAGCTAAACAACCTTTCTTGGCAGCATCTAGCAAAGCTGCATCCCCCCTTAGCAGATCTTGGATATCAGTATCTCCATCTTTAACAAGATCCAAAGGAGTATTCCCATCTCTATTTTTCTTTGTAGGGTCTGCACCATGCTAGGCATGTAAAAAACACAAAGGGAGTAGGAACTGACTTAGGTTGCCTTTCATCAGTGAGAAAACAGTCAATGTACCCAAGCCAAAGAAAATAATTTTACACTGAAACTCTACCTTAAAGGTTAACATGATTGTTATTAATAAAAACAAAAAATTTAAACTATGTTCAAAATAAAGTACTTCACTGAATATTACTTTTTTTTCTTCTTTTTCTACTACAGTCATGCTTCATTTAGTCACAGGAACATGTTCTGAGAAATACATCCTTAGGTGATTTCATCATTGTGTAAACATTATAAAGTGTGTTTACACTAACTTTACAGCCTACTATACATCTCACTGATATGGCATAGCCTGTTGCTCCTAACTATAAACCTGAACACAGCATGTTAATGTACTGAGTATCACAGACAATTTTAACATAATGGTAAGTTTTGTGTATGTGAAAATTGTAATTTTAATGGGATCGCTAGCACCCATGCAGTCCATCATTAACTACATCATTATTATGTAGTATGGGACTTTACTTCTCAAAACCACAGAGTATGAATCTATCCTCTAATTTTTTTCTGTGAAATATTCATTGGTATCTGTATTAAACTAGTATCATCAATTTTATCAATGTTAAATAAACTGGGCTTACAAACTATATGATTTATCAAGTATTCTGAAGTTAAATTACTGAACAGGGGCTGGTTCAAGTGGCATAGTGCTTGCCCTGAGTTCAAACCCCAATAGTGCCCCCTCCCCAAATAAACCCCCAAAACAACAATAGAAGAAACTGAACAGGAAAAATACAGATAGTAACTAGAGAACTATCACATGATAGTTGACTGTACACAAAAATAAACCTGTGTATGGTAAATATATTTGTAGATTAAAATATAAAAGTCTTCATGACACAGTTTTTTGAATTCTTATTATAGAAGTAGATAACTTTATTTTCCACTCTCTTACTAGTTTAATTTTATACTAGTTATTTGAAAAATAGGTAACATATTGTGAATACTTAAATATACCTGGAGCAGCAGTTTGCATATTTCATATTTTCCTTTTGCTGCAGCTTCATGTAAAGGTGTAAATTTCCATAAGTCAGCTACATTAACTACTGCTCCATGCTTAACAAGAAGCTCTGCAACTTCGTAATGTCCATAAGAACACGCATTGTGCAAAGGTACAAGGCCTCTGAAATGAAAAGTTAAATGAGCAATAATGCCAGGGAAGTGTATGATTTAACTTCAATAATTAAATATAACTGATGAAAGATGTTTGTTGAACTACCTAAATCTACTGAAAGTATCAACAGGATTATTTTGGTAGGGGAATTTTAAAATATTTTAAAAGCAGAGAATCTGACAATATCTAAGTACTCAACATTTAGGACTGTGTGTTTTTAATGAAAATGTTGTCAAGATAAACTTGAAAAAATTAAATATCCTCAATGAACTGCAAAAAATATACTGCATTAAAAATCAGTATCACAATAATGTAATGACTTTGGCTATTACAAAATTATAAGGCATTACCCAAGTAATGTCTTCATATAAATGCTAACCATCATAACTTCTCAAATGAAATTAAGAAACGGTATTTAAACCAGTGTAAGGAAACATACTATTCTTAACAAGTATCACATCTTTCCCTATCAATTATTAGTTATCAATTATCAAATATCTTTCCCTATTTTCCTAACCAGGCCAGGATCAGTAAGGCAAAGAGATGCATGGCAGCTACTGGTACACACCCTTTATCCTTGGCATGCACATCGGCTCCATGCTGCAGCAGGTATTCCACCACAGACACCCTGTTGTACCCAGCTGCAAAATGGAGTGGTGTAGACTGACGTCCCTCAATGTCTCTGCAGTTGACACTCTGAACAGTACACAGCTTCTGTAGGGTTGAACAGAGCATACAAACGATACCACATATTCTCATTTTGACTCATGTATTTGAAATTTCAAATGTCTGAGTTATTTTCATGTCTCATTAAATCAGTATTCTCAAAATGTATTTATTCTTATTTCATCTTGTCATTTACTGAGAATACTTCTGATCCACCAATCTATGCCTGCTATCTTCTAACTTTTTCTATAGTTAGTAAACAAATTGTATCATTACCACTACTCTAGTTTCACAAAGATAACTTAAGTATCAATTACTGCACTCATAATTGTATTTCTGTCCAATACATGTAGAGGCACACTGGATCACAGCAGTATCAGCAACAACCAGGGGCTTGTCAAAAGTTTAGAATCTCAGATCTCTACCTAAGAAAATCTGTATTGTAAGTGAGGTGTGGCGATACACACCTGCAATCCTAGCACATGGGAGGGAGGCAGGAGGATTGTAAATTTGAGGCTAGTCTGGGCCACATGGTAAGGACTTGTGTCTGAAAAAAAGAAACTGCATTTTAACAAGATCCCTAAAGTTTAAGAATTACTGCTCTTGACCACTGGTTCTTTCATGTTCAGTAGTCCCACCTCCACATTTTTAAGTTCAGTGTTTGGAGAGGGGCTTGAAAATTTGTATTTCTAGGTGGTGCTGATGCTGGTGATCAAGGAACCACACTTGGAGAATGAGTCATACTGCACTATGTGGAATGAATTAACTAATAAAATGCTACAGGTTTTAGAGAATTAAGAGAATAGCTACTCAAATAACTTTCTGTATTCTTGGTTCAGATTAGGAAGACTAGTTGAGAAAGGCTCCCTCCAAGGTAACACTGGAAACACAAGAGTATTTTTCATGCCAAGAATGAAAATTTGGGGAAGGATAGAAAAAGACAGTAAGTCATCCACTGGGGATGCAGCTCAAATGGTAGAGCACTTTCAAGTGTGAAGACCTGGGTTCAATCCTCAGTATTGGTGATGGTGCTGACCTTAATCCCAGCACTAGGGAGGGTAAAACAGGAAGATGGAGAGTTACAGGCTAGTCTGGACTACAAAGCAAGATCCTGTCTCAAAAAAACAAACCTCCCCCCCCCCAAAAAAAAAGGCAAACAACAACAAAAATCCTTTCTGATCCAGAATGAGGCCAAAATTTGTATTTCTCTGCCAGAAAATCTAAAATTACTGACTTTGTGCAGTGGGGCTGTTTAGGATTAAGAAGATCATACAGAAATACAGTGAAATACAGTGAAATTATTTTAAATACCTACTTCTGCTACAAATTAAGTAGACACATACCACTTTTTATAAAATTTATCAACCACTGGTGCTTGCTAAACTTGGACCAGCAGTTTTGAAAACTGGGAAATAGAAGGTTTTTCTCCCCTACTAGCTTTGAAAATTAAAATAACATTACTACATTACTGAAGAATTATTTACCTCATGAAAAATGCTGTGTTAAATTCTAGTTTGTATTATCTGAATTGTAAAAAGTCTCTCAGTCTTTCAAAATATTAGGTGTTTGAATTACCTAAATATACAATTTCTATAAGATAACAGGAACACCTGGTGTAGGCAGTAAGACATTATATATATTGTATGATTAAAAAAAAGTCAAAACAAAATCCAAGGAAAGGTTATTCTGTGGAAGACTGTTTTTGAACAGAAGATTATTAGGAGACAGTGGCTCTGAGAAGAAACACACTGTATTACTACAGCCTGAACAATAAATCCCAGAAGGGAGGAGTGGGGGGAAGAAATGAAGAAACCAGTAGATGGAACTGACACACTGGTTTCTCCCTTGTTTTATGTGTCTTATGCATATAATAATGGTTAGTGATTTGATATTCTTCTTGTTGCTGTTTTCTTTCTTTTGGCAGTACTGGGATTTGAACTCAGGGCCTCATGTTTAGTAGGCAGATACTCTACTACCACTTGAACCATGCCCTCATGGTTTTTGTTTTGAGACATGGTCTTACTATGTAGCCCAGGCTGGCCTCAAACTTGAGATCCTCCAGCATCTCTCTCTTTAGTGCTAGGATTATAGGCATTTACCACCATGTTTGACCCAAATTTTATTCTTTTTTTTTCCCTCAGCACCGGGGCTTGAACTCAGGGTTTCATGCTTGTAAAGCAGGCATTCTTTTTTTTTTTGAAGAGCACTCCTGGGGGAAAAATTTTTTTTTTTAAAATTCATATGTGCATACATCATTTGGGTCATTTCTCTCCCCTTCCCCTCACCCCCTCCCTTACCTCCCCACTCCCTCCCTTACCCACCCTAACCCCTTACTACCAGGCAGAAACTATTTTGCCCTTATGATGTTCTCCAGTTCCATCCATTTACTTGCAAATGATAAGATTTCATTCTTCTTCATGGCTGAGTAAAAGTCCATTGTGTATAAATACATTTTCTTTTAATTATTCATATGTGCATACAATGCTTGGGTCATTTCTCCCCCCTCCCCCCGCCCCATCCCTTACCACCCATTCCGCCCCCTCCCTCTCCCCTCCACCCCGTCAATACCCGGCAGAAACTATTTTGCCCTTATCTCTAATTTTGTTGAAGAGAGAGTATAAGCAATAATAGGAAGGACCAAGGGTTTTTGCTAGTTGAGATAAGGATAGCTATACAGGGAGTTGACTCGCATTGCTTTCCTGTACGTGTGTTAACTTCTAAGTTAATTCTTCTCGAACTAACCTTTTCTCTAGTTCCTGGTCCCCTTCTCCTATTGGCCTTAGTTGCTTTAAAGTAGTAATTACCACTTCAGACACTCTGCCAGCCTCCAAATCTTATGCTTTTGAAGGGACAAATCCCATTTGGTCTTACATGAAATTTATTTAAATTTGTCAATGTGGTATCTACTGAAATGTATGTGAAACTAATCCCTTTCTTTCATTACCCAGTGTTTCTTATGTGCAGAGAATTATATATATTTTTCTTTTTAAAGCAAGACACAGGCATTATTCACAATAGCTAAGTTGTAGAAATAGCCAAGATGCCCCACAAATGGTGAATGGGCTAAGAAAATGTGATAGTTATATACAATGGAATTTTATTCAGTCATAGAGAAGAATGAAATTTTGCTGTTTGCAGATAAATGGATGGAACTGGAGAACATTATCTTAAGTGAAATTAGCCAGGTTCAGAAGGCTATAGGCCACGTTTTCTCTCATATGTGGAAGACAGGCCCAATGCAAACACAAGCAATATTATAAAAAACAGGTCATGCTAATGGGAGGTCACTAATGGGAAAGGGAGAGTAAAAGAAAAAAGTTAAGAAGGTGAGTATGGTTGATGTACTTTCTATACAAGAATGAATATAGAAGTTTTAAACCTGTTGAAATCACCATAAGAAGGGGACTAAAGTATAAAGAAGAAAAACAGAAGTGATGAACCAATTAGGGTTATAATACATATATACATGGACATGTCACAATGAAGCTCCCTGTACAGCTGTCTTTAAAAAAAAAAAAAAAGTCCTTTTTCAGAAACAGAGAACAGGAAGGCAAAATAGGTCCTGTCTGAGAGTTGATGCCATTGGGGCGGGGGGTGGGGTGGGGAGGAAAAGGGTATAAGAGGGTGAATATGGTAGAAATACTACGTGTTCATATATGAAATGGAAAAATGAGACCTGTTGAAACTATTCTAGGAATGGTGGGGGAGGGAAAGGAAAATGATGGAGGGGGTGACTTTAACTATGATGTATTGTAAGAACTTTTAGAAATGTCACAATGTGCCCCCAGTACAGCAACAGAATAAAAAAAGCAAAAATACAAAGGGAAAAAAAATCTTAATCTTAAGGCACATATGAACCAATTTCTTCATTATAACAGTACAGATTCATTAAGCAATGTCAAAATAAAAACCCAAGGCTAACAAAAACATAAGGTTATGTCTTACTTTTACAGTTTCTACATCTCCAGCCTTTGCAGCTTCCAGCAATTGTCTGTCTGCCTCTGAATTACCTAATGGGATGCCCTCTAAAAGGAGAGAGAGGAAAAGAGTGATTAACTTCTATTTAGAACATGGGACTAAACTTCAAGGGAGGCATATTTTCAAAAAGTAAATATGCTAGATAATACAGGAAATCTCCATAGTAGCAGGGGAAGTATTACAGCACTTAAAACTTTTTTGAAGTATAAGACATCTACACAAAATACATATAAAATGCGATTTAAGCAATATAAAAGAACATAAAATAGATGATGAAAGCTGGCCTGCTCTATAACCAAAGCCATGTAAAGTGCTGGAAGGTACTGAATTAGGAAGGCAGCAGCTAGAAATCTAATCATGGTTCTACAATAGTTATCTGAACTGGAGCAAATCACTTTAACTTCCTGAGCCTCAGATTTTTCAATTCCAAAGAGTGAAGGTGAGCTAGAAGTTATATAGTCAGTTCCAGGTCTGAAATTCTGTCTTATAGGTCATTTAAAATTTAAAAAAGAAAGACAGTATCCACTTAGAAGAAAACTTAAATATTTTTACACCTTAGAATAAAAAGAACTTAAAGCAAAATATCAAAGACAAAACCAAAAGAGAAAACTGATTTAAGAAACAAAATGGAAAAAAATCAAATTGCAATACTCATTTTAAAAGAAAACATAGTTAACATATGGTGTTCTTATAAGAAGACTACCCAGAGGCCTTAATAGACAAATAGGCTGAAGACATTAACATCCAAAAAAGGGAGAAATGCCAATAAAATGATGGTTAAGCTTACTCGTAAAGAGAAATTATATTAAAGTGAGATACTGTTGTGTTTTACCCACTAGGGGGCAAAGAAGAAATGAGGAGCTATGCTGATCCTATTTCTATAGTGTGTACTAAAAAAAGCATCTATTTTTTTTCTGTTAACTCACCAATGCACATTCACTCAAGGAAGTGCTGACAAGGAAAAAGGTCTTTTAATCCTCTCTTAGTGGGAGTGTAAAACCACTAGTACAATCTTTTCTCAAAGGTAACTGGAGAACTAGATGCTTCCTTTTTTACCTGAAAATTCTAAAATTTCTCTTAGAAACTAGTTGGAGAGATAAGTGAAGTTATATGTAATAGTACTTAGAATAAAAATGGCCAAGACTATATATTCTACCACTATGCAACTGGATAGGACCAGTGTTATCACCCCTAACCAAATGTGTGATCTATGGAAAATAAAGGTAATCCTGAAAGCAGACTTATAGTTAGTTCCTCTTTGGCAGATTCTAGCAGGCTGGTTCAACCTGCCTTCACTTACTCAAAATGTGGTTCCCAGACCTCAGACATTTATCAAGGATGAATGTTAAACAAGAAAGAAAAGGCTCATCTATTACAATTCTTATTTCAGCTTTGACATCTTGAAACTATCCCATGAGATTCTGGTAAAAACTAGAGAACTTATGGTACCAGATTTCTAGGCTGAAATGTTTAATCTATGCCAAGTATGTAGATGCTTGATCTAAATATTTTAAAATGTAAAGAATATGAGCACATGCAGTAAATAGGTTTTAATAACTCACACAGTCACCTTGTACAAACCCCACATGCCTTAAATAACAGAATCAAAAAAGGAATGAAACAGGTCCTGTATTTAGGGTATTACTTATTTCTACTGTTGCTATGCTAAAAGACCCCTACACATTTTTAAAGTTTTCCTTTCTTTAAAAAGAAGTAACATCTAAAATTAAAAAAACAAACAAATAATTGCATCTTACTTAATTAAAAAAGCTTAAAAGTTCTTTTTTTGAGATAGTCTCATTATGTAGCCAAAGTTGGCATCAAACTTGTAATCCTCCTGCCTCAGCCTCCCAAGTGCTGAGATTACAGGCGTGAACCACCATGCCTAGCTTTAAAAGCTTTTTACAAGCTTCCTTTATAAAAAGCTGGAAGTCATCTACTTGCCAGAGAAAGCAGGCAGAAAATGCTACTCAAACAAAATCATAATTACGATTACTGACATTTGGATATTATGTCTAACAGGATGATTAAGAGTATGTGTTAAGAATAGCTAAAAATTCTCAAGAATTTCTTTCTGTTACCAACTTCTGCATATAATACATGGTATGTGAAAATATTAAAGCACTGAGTACCTTGAAGCAGCTGCTGCACATTTTCATTTCCCATCTGCAAGGCAGTGAAGCCCTGAAGGGAGATAATGTTAGGATCACACCCATAGCTCAGTAGTAGACGGCAGGTTTGCAGGTGACCACAATGTGCAGCTCTGTGCAGAGATGTCTGGCCAAGATTATCCAAAGCATTAACCTTAACAATGCAGAAAAGGGTGAAATTAGCCTGCAGTACATGATTTTAAAAAACTGGATGCAATCATGTATTTAACACTTGCTACCAATCTAAAAGTCTTAATTATTGTTTTAGGAAACCAACTGTCTAGGGCCAAAACAAGTATTTTTTGCTCAATTTGAGAACAAATTCCATCATTTCATCAAGGCAGATGTCAAAAGGGAAAGCCAATTTTGGGTTAAAAATGCGAGATGTTGAGTAACAGTTGTGTACAGCCTTAAAGCATTTACAGATTCACCTTATTTAGAACTAGACATTATCTAAGAAAGTTGAATCCATGCATTTTACAGGATCTCTGAGGTCCAGAAATGTGGAGGTCAACCCTAACATAGGTAACAGTCAGGAGCAAAACCAGAGATAAATTAACATTAAAATGCGCTCTTCTTTTTTTTTTTTTTGGCAGTGCTGGGATCAAACCCAGGGCTTTGTGCATGTGAGCCTGAGCACTCTACCACTGAGCTACATCCATCCCCAGTTCCTAAAATACTTAATTCTACTGGCTTAATTGGATACCTCATTATCATGTAAAATATAATCTTTAGAAACATAAGAGTATACCCACACAATGGAATACTTTTCAGTAATACAATGGAAAAACTGTTGATATGATGAATCTCCAAAATATTAACTCAGTGGAAAAAGTCTACACAAGAGTACATATTGTTATGATTCCATGTATATGAAGGCCTAGAACAGGCAAATCTAACCTATGCCAGAAAAAATAAAAATGGCTGCTACTTCTAGAGGTGGATTGCTGGGGATTGAACAAAGGGCTTTGTACATGGTAGGCAAGCACTGACCACCGAACATTACCAGCCCATGTTCTCTCTTACTTTTTGCAGTAATGGGGTTTGAACTCAGAGCTTTGTATTTGCTCTGCCATTTGAACCACACCCTCAGCTCTTTTTGTTTTTTGAATATGGTCTCACTGTTTATGTGCAGGCCAGGTTGGATTGGAATGCTCCTATTTACACTTCCTGTGTAGGTAGGATGACAGGCACACAATACCACGCTCAGGTTTTATTGGTTGAGATGGGGTCTCATGAACTTTTGGCCTTGAACCACAATCTTCTGCCTCCCAATTAATTAATATTATAGGCGTGAGCCACAGCTCCCAGTTTAGCCCATGTCCTTTAACTTGATAGTTTTGGTTACACTAATGGATGCATTTGTCAAAATTCAGCAAACGTACATTTAAAATTTGTGCTTTTCACTGCAGGGAAATTCTGTATCTAAGCAAAAACTATAAACAAATGCTGAAATCTTTTTAATGGCCATGTGGAAGTATTTAGGGGTAAGTGTACAATAATCTGCAAATTACCCTAAAATATGTCAAAATATAAGATATTGATGGGCATGTAATAAATCATAGTAAAATGTCAGCAACACAATATTTTCTGTAAAATTCTTTCAATTTGGCTTATATCTGAAATTCTTCACAAGAACAACAACCACCTCTAAGACTCTATTTTATCATCATTTCTGCCTCCTCATCATGGAACTAATTCTCCAAAACAGAACTGAGAAATTAAGTTCCTTAGTAATCAATCCATGCCTACTAATATGTTCTGAGATACTGGCCAATTCATATTCATGGAATCAGAAAATGTTAGAAGAGAAATATAGAAACACCTTTTCAATGAACATAAAACTAGAATATGAATAGCTACTCTCCATGCTTACAGAATCTGAAATCTTAAATACTCAGGGCAATTAAACTATTTCACATACCTAAATTCATGTTAGCATGAAAAACATCACTTGAAAACTTCATTTGGGTACCACTTTGTGTTAAGATTAGGGTGACCAACTTGTCCTGGTTTGCTTAGGACTTTCTCAGAATCACCACTGAAGTACTGGGTTTTTGGAAGTCACCAAGTCCTGGCTAAAACTGAGTGGTTGGTCACCCTAATGAAGACTGAGTTTCACAACTCAAATTTAATATGCATCAAGATATTTTTCAAGTAACATACCACATGTATGAAAAAAGCAACCAACGAGAAGTTACAGAACAGAGAGACAAATGAGATATACCAAGCAGTCAAGCAGAAATAAACTTTATTTTATTCAATAATTTACAATAGGAAAGATCAAGATTATACATTATTGAGAACTTCCCGAAATCAAAGAGAGATTAGGACATTGAGAAGTAACAGAAAAAGAAACTGGAAAATTCTAAGTGGTTCTGTGAGTGAGTAGAAACTCAAGGATGGACATATAAGAAAATTACTCTGCAAAACCCAGTTGGGAAAGGGGCTCAGGGCCACTCAAGGGAAAAGGGATCTCTATTTTTTTGTTTTCATCTAGAGCAGATTCTGTCTTTCTGTTGCATACTGAACTTCTATTAAAGATTTTGTTTGGAGAAGGCAAGGATCTGTGGCAACAACTGAAAACTACTGAATTAGGTAACTGCCACCTGTGCTATGTATACCTTTTACTGGGCAGCATGTTTTTAAAGTTCCTGGATAAGACATAATGATATCTAGCCTTAATGGAAGCACCATTATCCAATGAATAAAATGCTTTGTACACAAACGGCAACTAAAGAACATTAATCAACTTGGGTAGATAAAATTGTTTTTAGTTAAATTATGTAAAACATTTATTTCTTTTTATTCAAATTCTTTGGCTTGGTTACAAAAATAACAAGAGTTTGTACAAAGACTGTCACTGTGATAAATAATAGGAATTATCATGGTAACCAAGGAATAGAAGATACAGGTGAGAAAAGACAACTAGAAAAAATTGGTTAGAATTAGTATGTCTCTAGTTGGGAATATTCTGGATTGGGTAATGTTAAAGAACGTCCTTAAGGATAACTATGACCAGTGGGGTGTGGCTAAAAGGAACAAGGTGTAGGAGTAATGTATATGTAAATGAATGCATAAATTTTCTGACAAAAAAACATAGAAGTCTTCTGCAAGACTGTTCCTAAGTGTAGATTAAGAGACTCAAATAGTAATACTTGTGATAGTTTAAGGAGTCAGGTATTTCATCTGCTAAACAGAAACTAACTCATTGGATTACCAAAATTGAAGTATACCTTTGCTTCATGTTTCACCACTACTTCAACAACATCATTGTGAGCTTTCTCAGATGCCACGTGTAGAGGAGTCAAGAATCTTAAAGAGAAAAAGCCAGCCAATGAGTGAATTTTCCACAAATCAAAATGTCATTAATAATTAATTATTAAAAATATACTTACTCTTTAGTCTTTTCATTGATGTTTGCTCCTTTTCTTAGCAACAGTTCACATATTTGCTTTCTTTTGGGATATGGAGATGCAGCAGCACAATGCTAAATAATTTAAATTGCAGCATTAATCAAGGACTATACATAACTATTTTTATTTAAGAACACTTGTGATTCCACTCATGACTAATCAAGAAGTTAGTTTCTTCATTTTTGACCTCACTTTGCTCTCAAGAGACTTTCTAGATTGACAGAATGTGTAAACACCACCAAATTCTAATGAGACTGAGAATTCTATGTACTGAATGATATCTGTTATTAGATATTCTGATCAAACTTTGTTCTTTATTGTTGATAAAAGCCCTTTGGGTTGGGGACATGGCTCAAGTGATAAGAGTATATGTCTAATGAGCATTAGGCTCTGAGTTCAAACCCCAGTATTTCAAAAGAAGGAAAGAAAAGTCCCTATTGATGTGATGACTGAGTATGACCAATCCCCCTTTCAAAACTGTTCCTACACAGCATCGTGTTTATGTAACATCCAAAAGGTTAAGAAAACACCCAAAGGTTGGGGTTTCTTTTTCTTTTTAATGTAGTGGATCAAACCCAGGGCCTCATGCACATTAGGCGCTCTATCACTGAGCTATATATACATCCTCAGCCCCAGCCTGAGGTTTCTGCTCTTAATTCTGCTTGCTTAATAGCACTGATGGAATAGCTGATAAGCTGAGTAGTATTTCTCTCTCTCTTAACCAGTTGTTGCAGCAGAAAAAGGACCTTGGATTACCTGTTAAGCACAATCAGTGTTAGAAAATGATATACTCTGGAGTTTGGGGGAGTAGCACCTCTGAATATCAAGGAAGAAAAAAAGACAGAAGGTAGGGCTTTGCCAGTTATAAGCCTAGTAAGTATCTTATGGTGAAGGCCTCTACCTTTTTACAACCTCAAAATCCAGGTCATCAGGGACAATGGATACTCAGCTATGTCTGGATGGATGACTAAATCAATGTATTTATGTTAAAATTGAAATCTGAGAATCCATGGAATAAACGTTCTGGCTAATTTTTAAGCAATGTTGTTCTACATCAAAACATATAGTATGTATGAAATCTGTTCTGTGATGGTAATGTTATAAATAATAAACTTTATCAGATCCTCACAACTTGGCTGCAGGTTCATTTTCTTGATATTGCAGTCACCCAAAATCATCCCTTCACTCTCAATAAAATCAAGCCTGGCTGGTAAACATAGCTCCTGGGTAATAATCCTAAGACATGGATCAGGAAAGTAGACAAATGGAAGTAGCAAGAATTCTTTATCAGACCCACCTCAAAGCACACCGTGTTCTGAAGCAGTGCCAACAATCTTTGGAAACAGAAAAGAAAGTGCTTCTGCACCTGACTACCCCTGAATACTTAACTTCCAGTATGTTTTAAGCTTAATAACCTTAAAAGTTGTTTAATAGCAGGATATTAGAAGAAACATGGAGTAGAAAGTTCCCCTTTATCTGTGTTTTTGTTTGCCTTTTACCTGTGGTCAACTGTGATCTAATAATATTACAAAGAAATTCCAGAAATAAATAATCTGTAAATTCTACACTGTGCATGTATCTGGGAAGAGTGATGTAATCTTGTGCCATCTTGCTTAGACTGAAACATTTTCAGCTACTATATTCAGGCTATGGATGTTACATGCTTGTTAGTCACTCAGTAGCCACCTTAGTTATCGTCAGATCAACTGTTGGGGTACTGCCAGTGTTAAGTGTTCAAGTAAATCTTATTTTCTTAATAATGGTCTTAAACAGCAACAACAGTGTTGTTAGGAATTTTGATATGACAAAAAGAAGCTGCAAAGTGCATCCTTAAAGTGAAAAGTCTTGATTTGATAAAGGAATAAGAAGTACCAGATGCTAAGGTTACTAAGACACAGTTAAGTTACTGCGGTTAATCTCTTACTGTGCCTCATTAAAAAATGTAACTGCATCACAGGTATGTACATGTAGGTTCAGTACTATCTGTGCTTTCAGGCATCCATTGGGGGGTCTCAGAAAATGTCCCCTTACACCTAGTTTTTCAAACTAGAAATTTTCCCATGATGTTTCTAAGTCTTTCCAAGTTTCTCTGTACCATTTTAATGCTGTTGTGGTTTTAACTTTGTACTAGTGTATTTTTATCAGTCTGTAGCTTTTTTTTTTTTAACTTGAATGTTTTTAAAAAATTGAGTAGCAAAAAGATCCAAAATGTTTATAGATAGGTTTCTATATAAATTTCGGTTTAGTACTCTGTTTTTCCTTGGACTTCAGTACTCACATCTACTTTGTTAGACCACCACAGACGTTTTTTCTTATTTTTGGTTGTTTGAGACAGGGTCTTGTTCTGTAGTCCAATCTGGCCTACAAGCTCGCCCTGAACTTTTGATTCTTCTGCCTCAGCCTCCCAAATGCTGGGATTACAGGTATATGCCATCATGCCTGGCTTACAAAAGAGTTGTTATTATCTCTATCAGGGAAGTAATTCTAAGATACTTTATTCAAACTTTAAACAAGATTAAAAAAAAATGCAATACTAGAAAGAAATATAACAAATTTTTTAATCTAGATGGTGGTACTAGTTTTCTTTTTCATTATTTTCAGTGGGTTTCAAATTTTTCTAGTATAAGCATTTATAATTTTTATAACTATCTTAAATAGCAAATGATATGTAACATCCATGATAATAGACAAGGTTGCATATAACACATACCAGTATATGAGTAAAATTTTCTTCTGGATGGATTCTCAAACTAATAATAGCATTGCCTTTTGAAAAGTGAGGTTATTTTTCTGTACTGTTTGAATTTTTTAATTTCTCTATATGTGAGCCTTACTTTCATTTTTTAAAATTATAGATTTTTTAAAACAGTGCCACTACTAAAATAGGACACAATGATTAACTTGGCATGTTCTTGGTTACTGTATTTTAAAAAAATCTGAAACATTACCAGTGCTGTTTCATGTGTTTGAGGATGTTTGAAATTCACCATTTCCAGAGACAGATGTTTTTTGATTCGTGTAACATCAGCTTCCCGTGCAGCTTGCAGCAATGAGTGTCCTTTAAATTCATCTAAATGAAGAAGCATTTAAATCTACATGAGAATTACCAAATTAATGGGGCTTACCTCATAAAAGAGACTTGGTATTTTTTCTTGGAATTATTTTCAAGTAATTTTTCAAAACAGGTAGATTGAGACTCTATTTTCCACATATAATCCCTGAAAATAGACACACTGATACTCCAATTCCCTCAGGTAAGGCTCAATTCATTCCCAAGCATATAAAGATTTAGACCATGACAGATTCCTGCTTTGTTTTAATTCATAATCAGTCTAGAGTACTGCAATATAAACCCAAATCAGAATGTTCTGAGAGTTTTCCAATGCACAGAACTTTTCTCAGTAAAGAAATAAAACAAAGGGCACTCATAATCCCTACATGAACATATGGGTAGCAGATGATTTCGCTCATACCTATCAAGTAATTGTGGAGAAGTCGGCTATTGCCAAATGCCACCCACAATGAATAAATGAAAGAGGGCATTTTTCCCCAAGTTTCTCTTTTATACTCAGACTTAAGAAACCATCCAGCATCTGTTTCTCTTTCAGAGTAATCCATGTCCCAATTCAAGTTGTCTATTTATATATAGTAATACTGTATCTGAATTAGATAGTTATTTCTCTCTACATCTACTTTAGCTATAGACAGAAAACCATGGAACTTGGCCCAAGTATTAAAGAATATTAAATGTTAAGAGCCAGGACTATATTTACAAGATGGCAATCTTACAAGTAACACTTTAAACCACAGTGGATTAGCTGGAAAGTCATATAAAAGATAGGAAAGTAAGAGTAATACATTGACTTCAAAAAACTAATATATTTTCTTTCTACAGCATCTAAAGTACAAGCTTCCAAGTTATTAAATATGCTAAATAATAATAGATTACCTATGGTTAAGGCAAATAGTCTATTATTAAACATTACCAAAAATAAACAATAAAAAAATGTTCAGTTTACTGATATATCTTAGCTGAACATTCCTAATTTTTATACTCACATGATAATCTTTCTTTTAATTGTGGTGTAGGAGCCAAGTCTATAGCGCTTTTATTGTGACAATTCAGCAGTGTTGGGTCTGCGCCATAACTCAGGAGAAGAGAACACACTTCCACTCTGTTCTTAGATGCTGCCTCATGAAGAGGAGTAAACTGCCACAAGTCCATTGCATTTACACAGGCACCATGCTACAGAGGAAAAAGTGTGTATAATGAGACTTCGTAAGAATTTAGAGTTATTTTTACTGTGTAATTTAACATCATGTATGCTTAAAGAGGTTATGTCTCCAAGGTTCACTTTTTAAGTAAGAGTACTTTTTCCCAATGGAAAAGCAGTAGCTAATTGTTAGACCTGCTCTCAAGGGACTGTTTACCTGTTAATGTTAGGAACAATTAAGAATGAGGTTTTAGATTTAACCTGCACCTTTTCCAATTTTTTTTTATTTTTTGGAGGTATAGTTTACATACAGTGAAAGGCACAACACTTAAGTGTATAGTTTAGCGAATTTTCTCAGATGTACATATTTGTGAAACCATCACCCAAGTCAAGATATAGGACACTTTCATTATCACAAAATGTTTTCTCAAGCTCCTTTTATAGGCAATTTTGGTCTCTTTCTGACTTCTATAACCATATTAACATGTTCTTGAAACTCATAAAGATGAAATACAATATATATTTTTGTGTTTAACTTCTCTCACAGGTATATTTTTGCGATACATTCATGTTGTATCAAGTTTGAATACATTGCTGAGGAATATTTCATTGCATAGACATATTGCAATTTACTTATCTATCACCCTGTTACTGGAAGGTTAGACTGTTTATAAGTTTTTTTTTTTCCCCTTTTACTTTTTTAGGGGCTGGGAATCAAACCCAGGGCCTTGTACATGTTAGGCAAGCACTCTACCACGCAGCTATACCACCAATCCTGCTTCTAGTTTTTAAATATTCTAAGTTGTTATGAACACTCCTATTCAAGTCTTTTTTGGACGTTAGTATGGTATGGATATATTTAACTATTAGAAACTAACAAACGTTGTTCTAAAGTGGCCATTATCATTTTACACTGCTATCAGTAATGCTTGAGTTCCAGTTGCTACTCTGTATCCTTGATAACACTTTATATTGTCAGACTTTTTAATTTTAGTCATTTTCAAGTATTGGAGTTGGATAGACCATAGAAATTATACCAGATAAACTCTCTACTAAACACAAAATCCCTTCCATGGTATTCCTGACAGTAGGCAAACCAACTACTTGCTCTTTTAGTACTTCTTTTTCTTTTGTGGTATTGGGGTTTGAACTCAGGTCTTGTACTTGCTAGGTAGTTGTGCTAGCACTAGAGCTACATTCCAGTCCCCCATTTTTTAAAGTACTTGTAATGATGGGGGGAATTCTTGTCTAACATGGCTTTTTTACAGTTATAAGATAACTACTGTTGTTATGGTTTTTTATTTATTTTTTTGAACTCAGGGCCTCATGAGCAAGTACTCTATCACTTGAGCCATACGTCTAGCTCTTTTGCTTTCGAGATATAGTCTGATTAACTGTGCATGGGCTGACCTGACCTCACCATTCTCCTTTCTCCACTTCCTGAGCCACTGAGATTACAGATGTGGACTACCATACCTGGTCAGGAAGTTACTTTCTATAGTTAAGTTATAATTTTGCTTCATTTGTTATCTTTGGTACAAAAGATATCAATACTCTTCTTTGCTTTTTTAAATTTCCAGTACAGGGGATTGAATTTGAGGCCTCACATGTGCTAGGCAAGTGCTCTATCATTTGAGTCACAACCCCAGTCCTTCTTTGCGGTATTTGAAAGCAATTCTTGGGTTTGGGGATGTAGCTCAGTGGTACAGTGCTTCTCTAGCCTATGTGAGGTACAGGATTTGACCCCTAGCACTGTAAAAAGAAAAAACAAAACAAAACAACAACAAAAAAAAGAGTAACTCTTTTTTCTTTTCCAGTCTAACCACCTAAAAGTTCCTTCACTCTCCTTCATATCAGATCATTTCTAGACTTATCATCCTGGTGGCTCTCAACTAAATATACTTTAGCCAAAGAAATTAATCTGAAAAGAATACCAAAACTCTGAAATAACAATGTATTACTCACATGGTTTGAGTATGCTGCGTACAGTGTATTCCATTATTACATTTGCTCTTAACACTACATTACTTTGCTCTAGTGTCATAAAATTATGACAGCTTTTTAAGTAGTCATATCACAACTTATTCTGAATTAGAATAAGTTGCAGCTTAAAAGCTCTATAATTTTTTTTAAAAGCATGAAGTAAACACCAAAGTTTATTCTGCCCTCACATCTTGATCTTTTGCTCCTATTTTTGTGAACTTTTCAAAAGTCTCCTCATTGGTCCCTACTGAATAACATTTTACTTCTCCAACCCAAACTTGCTCAAATATTAGTTAATCCTTCCCAGCTTCATGTTAATTTGCAAATTTTATATGTAGCCCTACTAATTCTTTATCAAGTCAACAATAAAAATGTGGATCATAATAAAGGCAAAGGTGAACCTTCTGGCAGCTCACTGCATTTCCTTCTAAGCAAAGAAATAGCAGTCAACACTTGCTATAGTTGTTTAATTACGAATTTGATAGAATCTCCCCCCCTCATAATAGCCTACTCCATCTATTTGCTTTCTTATACTTAGAAGCTATTAGAAAGTTGAGAGAATTCCTTGCTATTCTCTGTCTGTTAGAGCCATATTTTTTATTTGACCCAGGGATGTCTTGGTATCTTCCATGCTTAGGCACAGTGCCCTGGTCATGGAATGTAATCACTGCATGTGCTGCTACATGACAGCTTCTGCTAGCTGGACTCTTTAGCAGAGGTTGCCAACTTGGTGTTGCCCGGGATATCTGCATATATTCACAATCTCTAGCTATTGGCTTTTTCCCGACATTCCTGAACATTGCTATTCTGGTAACTGTCTGCACACCCTCACTTCAGCTAATATTCTAAATGTGTCCACTTCTCAGTTTTGCATTCTTATTTATTTGCAGTGGGTCTTGCACATGCTGGGCAGCACTATGCCACTGATCTTTACCTCTAGCCCTTGCATTCTTGTTTAGTATAACACCAGATCTTAGGAAAATACCACTCAGCTATCTGCAAGTCCCGTGCAATATGTCTGATGTTGTACTCTTTGCCACATTTAACATTTCAAATGTTCTGTTGAATTCAAGACTCAGTTTTACAAGAAGCAAAACCATTTTGCTACATATGCATGTTATTACAGCTACATTATAAATTTGAAAGGGCTTATATGGTACAGGGAATATCTCATCATTATTAAAAAGTTGTTTCTGGGAAAGAACATATTCCATGGTGGCACGTGCCTAAAAGAAAGCATAGAAGTATCGGGAACAAGTGTCCTCTTTCCCTTCTCATGACCGCTGCTGAGTGAGGAAAAGAAAAGGTGGAGGGTAAGAGAAGGCTCAAGAATGTGGGCAAAAATATATGTAAAGAGTAGGGGACAGAAAGAAATGGGCATGGATCCACTCTCCATATTATATTATTCTTAGATCTACTCTCAAGGATAATGTATTTCTCTTTTTCTACCACCCAACAGGGGTCAGAATAAGTTTCTTGCTAGTCTTGGAGACCTATTAAACAATATCAGCCCCGCATATCAGAAGAAATGAAGCTTAACCAAGTGAGCCTGCTTTAACCTAAAGTACAAGTTGGCAAATCTTGCAAATAACCTGTGGTCACTAAGAATTGCTTTCTGATCTTTGGCTACATATTATAGAACCACTTAAGCTGCTAGTCATTTATGACCATGTTACTTGTATTAAAATTGTATGATATTTTAAAAATCCAAAGGCAGCCAAATACTGACATCAATCCCCTATATTTTATGATTATATATTCCTTCTCTTCCTACCAAGAACTTAGACCACATACAATACATTTTAAGTAATTTTATATAATTATAAAAAATAATCAGAGAGAACTAACCTTGACCAGAAGTTCAGTTACTTCATAATGACCATATGAACAGGCATTGTGTAATGGCACCAGGTCACTATAATGAGGGGGGGATAAAACCTGTTGTTATTATAGAATCCCTAGGCTGAGGGAAATTTACAAATTATAATTTAATTTTAATTAATTTAAATTTACATTTTGCTTTGACTAGCAAATGGCTTATGTGACTTTCTAATGAAAATGTGCAAAAGTCCTAACAAATTCCAACTCCCAAGCCTCTTTCAAATCCATCCTCCTTTTCCCCCCATGCTACTGCCACTGACTTTGTTTGGCTTATATTATTTCTCCCCTGTGTTACTGAAATAGCCCCCAAGCTATTTTTCTAAAAAGTTTATCTGATGATATCTAATGTGGTTACTCCTTGTTTTAACATCTTCATAGTTCTTCCTCACTTTTAAGAGATAGGGTCTCGTTATGTAGCTAGGCTGGCCTGGAACTCACAATCCTCCAGTCTCTACTTCCTTAGTGCTGGAATTACAGGAGTTTGCATATTTTAGATTGGGTTGCCAAATCCTCTAATCCCTGGTTTTCACCTACTTCTCCAAACCAAACTTTCATGTGTCCCCTATGTGAATCACCTGCTTCAGCCAAAGTGGTCTAGTCAGTATTCCTTAAATGTGTTGCGTGAACTTTAGTACCCTCACTTTTACCAGTTCATTTGTACAGTGATATTCCCTAAAATCTTTGACTTGAATTGAGACCTGCCTTTAAGGACCAGGTCAAGGTACATCCCCTCTTTCCTAACCGCTCCATCAATCACTGATAGTGATCGTTTTCTCCTGGAACTCCTGTAATACTGTCCCTCACTATTTACCACCTGGCACTACTTGGTAGAGACTTCTTTGATTTATGATTTATCTTTTGTGCTCCATAAGGTGTAGTATATGAGTGGGACGCTGAAAGTGTTATACTTCCCCGTTCCTCAGAGCAACCTGTTTATCATAAAAACTCAGTAAATGTTAATGCTGTTTGGTTAAAATGTAAGAAAAAAAATTTTTTTTATAAGGTTACAAGGTACATTATAAGGATGAGAATCTTAAGAGGCCTTCGTCTTTGTTTAGTGCTTACCCTTTATCTTTAGCATGGACATCAGCTCCATGCTGCAGTAACAGCTGCACAATCTTTACTCTGTTGTATCCTGCTGCCAAATGCAGTGGAGTTGACTGAAATATTAATCAAATAAATTAATGAAATTCACACAATGGCTGAATAAAATGAGTGACAAGAAAAAAGCCCAAATCTAAAAACAGAAAATCTAATTATAATTTCATGTTTAATAACTAGTTATCAATTTGATTTTATGTTTTAACACATATTGAAGGCACAGTATAAAAGTTTAAGTTCACTATTATACACAAGAAACAAATAAATGTTCACTATCATTGTTTTACTAAGTTTAAGAATTAACCTGAATTACTACTCAAAAACATCAGTACTTGATTCAAATATTTTAATTTATGATAAGATAAATACAGATTCCTATTACCAAAAGATGAACACAAACTTAAGAAGTACCTTTCTGCCATCACTTGCATGGCAGTTGACATTTAATGGTGTGAGCAGAGCCATCATTTTTTCCTCATTGCCACTCCTAGAACACAAAAAAATGTATTAACAATTTGTGATTTTTACCAGATCCTACCTGGAAACATGTATTGCGACCATTAAGACAAAATCATTCCTTTTTAGAAAGTAAAGCATGCTTATTTTAGGGTTGGGGGCATGGCTCAAGTGATGGAGAGCCAGCCTAGCAATCACAAGGTCTCAAGTTCAAACCCCAGTATCAGCTGGGCAACAGTGGCTCACCATAAACCCTCGCTTCTTAGGAGGCTGACAATGGGAAGATTGGGGTTTGAAGTCAGCCAAGGTGAATAGTCAAGAGATATCTCAACCAACAGCTGACGCAGTGGTAGAAGCCTGTTATCCTAAGCTATGTAGGAGGCTAAGACTGTGAGGAATGCAGTTCTAGGCCAGCCTGGGCAAAAAAGTTTGTGAGACCTCATCTCAACGGAAAAAAAGCTGTCATCCCAGCTATGGTGGGAAGTCTAAAACAGGAGGATTAGTGTTCAGGCCAAACAAAAAAGCAAGGAGACCTTATCTCCAAAGTAACCAGAACAAAAAGGGCTGGAGGTGTAGCTCAAGTGGTAAAGTGCTTGACTCATATGTGTGAAGCCCTAAATTCAAACCCCAGTACCAAGAGGGAAAAACATACGCTTATTGTAAAAAAAAAAAATAAATAATAATGTTTCTTTGATGGCACTGGGGTTTGAGCTCAGGGCCTCACGCTTGCTAGGCAGGTATTCCTGCCACTTGAGCCATTCCACTAGCCCCTCCCACCCAAATTTTAATCGTGGTTTTCATGGTAGGTATTTATGACATTAGAACATACCTGGCACTTTCCAGGAGTTCATCTTTCTTATAATCACCTGTGAATTAAGAATAAAATGAGAAGTTAAAAAAACAAAAACAAACAAAAAAAACCCCCAAAAAACCAGTTTTAAGCAAAAAGATGTCCACTAAACTGTATTTAAAGTAGACAAACTTCTAAGAAATGGAAAGTGGTTGATCAACAGAATACCATGAAGTTTTAAAATACTTATAGAAAGAATATGGAAATACCTTTGTTACGAAAGTGAAAGAGTGATTCAATGTTACATAATGAAGCCTGACTACAACTATATAAAAATTATATGAATGGCAAAAGGAAAACTTGAAGGAAACATACCAAAATACTGACAGAGTTTATCTTTGGTAGTAGATTATTGGTGAGTTTTTTCTTTTACTTTTTTACAATTTCATTCAATGCCAAAATAAGGGATGGGGGTTGTAGCTCTGTGGCAGAGCACTTGCCCAGTATGCATGAAGCCCTGGGTTCAAAATTCCCAGCACCAAAATAAATAAATCTAAACAACAATAACAAACCAATAATCCCCTCCCCCCCACAGAGAAACCCTAATATACCAAAATTGCAAAAATGACAAAAGAATCTATGGCATCACTAATTGAACATAATCATTAACATCTTGAACCCATAGTTATAAAACTAAGATTATTTTTATTTCTTTAAATATATACAAATATCAAAAGGATTACACAACTTTTTATGCTGATAGCCTTTATATTTACAAAGAAATAACAAGCAAAACTATAAAATTTATATTAAAATAGGAATTTGCTGAAATAACATTGATAATTACTGCCTACAATGTGAATTCTATGCTGATTGCAAAATATAAAAGTATGGAATAACACAATAGTGAAAGAGGAAATGAACATGGAATTGATAGTCTTGAAAACAGCTCACAATTCCAAGTCTTTAGAGACTAATCTAAATTTTCTTAGCAATGCCAGAAGAAATACTGCAAAGTATAACCATAAAAACTCACGGGAGACCCCTCAGGTTTTTGCCATTCAGACTTCACATGAGTCATTATAATATAGAGCTAAGAATCCAATAAATAACATGGCAAAACTGCTTGAGTGAAAAGAACACTGACAAGGGAAAAAAAAAAATATATGAAGGAGATACAGCTCAAAAAACTTGCTAGTATTAACTAGAGTCTTAATAGAGGTTCCAAGGACATGAATGTTATAGCACAGCCATCTTCATGACAACACTGAAATGTGACCAGAATCCTGTTTTGAAGACATTAGCACAAGAGAATTAGTGCTTTCTAAAAAGGATTCCATCAATGATTAAAATACACACACACACACAAATGAAAGTGTATAAAGAGGTAGATGTTAGTTATATGAAAAACTTAGGGATATTTAAAAAATATGCGGTATCAACACTCTGCCAGTGATAAAGTGACAATGACAAATTTAAACATAAATTTAAACGAAAAAAAAAAAGCTTTACCTTTTTTAGACGAAAATCAAATGTCAACTGTCTAGATATAGACAACAATAGCAACTGAACTGACACTATGTAAAAACTCTAGATGAGGTTATTAACCACAGGAGGCTGGCTATCTACCTAGCAAGCTTATTCTTTATATTCTTCCTGTCTGTAATAACCAAAGAGGATACAGAGGATACAGAAACTTACCTGTCAGCACTGCTTTGGCAGATGGGTCTGCTAAATCCAATGCTGTCCTTCCATCTGTATTTCGGATGGTTGGCTCAGCTCCATGCTGTAAGAGCACTGCAAAATAACAACACTAATTTTCAAAATGGTAAACAAGACAACTTGATTTTGGTAAGTCATTTTCTTAAAAGTTCTTGTTCAGAAGTCTCAAAGTTGCTTAAAGACTTTTCATATCCTAATAATATATAAATATTACATTTTAAGTTTAAGAATATATAAAATAGCTACTGTACTATCACACACCGGTCTCAAAAAACATATATGTATATATATATATAAAATGTTTCATTATTTTATGCATTAAAGGCACATTAAAAAGTATTCCCTTTAGTTAAATATGAGATTTTCCATGGTTATTTACTTAGCTAGTGACAAGTGATAAAAGACCAATAAGGTGTGGTACACACCTGTAATCCCAGCCCTCTATAGAGGCTGAGACAGAAGGACTATGAGGCCAGTCTGAGCTACATAGTGAGTTTGAGGCAAGGTTGGACTACATAGGGAGACCCCATTTCAAAAAAAAAAAAAAATAAAACAAAGTACATGAGAAAAAAAGGGGCAAGTTTACTTGAAAGTTTTTCTCATTCCAAAGAATGCTAACTATGCTAGGAAGACTGCTCTAAATATGTAAATGAAATGTCTAAAGTTATAGATAGACCAGGAATCAGTTCTGTAGTATTGGTGGGGGAGAAATCACATAGGTAAATTCTCTGTTACAAAAAAAGGAAATAAAACTGGATAGCTCCCTTATGCTTTCAATCAATTCTGCAAGACCACCTGTTATCATTTCCCCACTCTTCAAGAAAAACTGAATAAATTAATCAGCAGAAGACAGCTGCTCAGCTTTGGCTATTATTGCCATAATACACTGTACACTTCAACAGCAAGGTACACCAGTCTAAGGAGTGGAGTAGGCAGGTTATACCGAAACCAAGCAAGGTATAAAATATTCCTCATATGGACAACTTTTCTTTGGGAAAATCTGAACTGTGGGATACATACACAGGGGTTGCCAGCTGAGTAGTTAAGTTTTCAGGTTAATTACACTGAATTTTAAGTTAAAATCCAAATACTCTCTTTAGAGTTAACAAACCCAAAGTCAAACTTCTATATTATAATCCAAAGCACATAAAGAGAAGCCTTGTGTTATGCTCTGTATTGTTATTTGTTACATAAAGATGTTTTATCTGTAAATAAAGGAACTAGGGGAACAGGCAAATAAACAAAGAAAGGAAACTTTGCTTCTGTTTTTTTGTTTCTTTGTCTACAGTGCTGGTGATCAAACTCAAGACCCTGGGCATGCTACATCCCCAGCTCCTGTTCTTTAATGGAGTTAATTCCATTCCATTCTACTCCTACCTGTAACAGTGCTGGCCAACAGAAATAAAATGTGAGCCATAAATATGAACTACATAGGTGATTTAAAATTTTCTAGCAGCTACATTAAAAATTAACTTTAAATTTAACATATTTTATTTAATCCAATTCATCAAAATATTCAATATTCACATTCTTATGGTCAGTATAAAAATTAAGTTACTTTACTTCTTTTGTACTAAGTCTTTGAAATATGGCATGTATTTGCTCTTATAGCACGTATCAGTTCGCTCTAGCAACACTGTAAGTTCTCAGCTACTAACACTGCGTGGTACAGATCTATATATTTGGAAAGTTCTATATTACATTATTAAAACAATAAATTATTTATACACCTGAGACTCTCAGATGGTAGGGATAGATTATATGATAGAAAGATAGATTGAGTATAGAGCAGTAACAATTTAAGATAACACAAAGGAAAGGAGAATTGGGCAGAATTAACTATGTAATCCATTTTGCAACTTTATAAACAACCTAATTTAAACTAAGTTCTTTACTTTGGTACAAATTAATTGGGACTGTGGCAGGAAGGGGATCAATTTAAGTACAGCATAGAGCCTTTCCTAGTGTAGACCCAGGTTTCTGACAGTTAAAGAACACAACTGTTTCTGTTTTGCATTAGGAAAAAAAAAAAAAAAAAAAGAGCTAAGGTAAAAATGAATCCAAAATCTCCAAAATCCCTGATTCTTGTTAGAATCAGAAAAGTAAATACCAAGTTAATGAAAACTCTCACACAGCCTTCCACATACAATTTTCTGTCAGTGATCAACCTGTTCAGGAAAATCCTCTCTCGCTTGTAATGATTAAGTATTCCAAATGACGGATATTTTTCCATCAAACGCTTCTTTAGTTTCCCGTCATGTGAATCTCCTGTAACAACCCTGGGTTGTGCCCTTCTCTCTCATTTGGGTTACTTGACAGCTTCCCCAACTTGTCTCCCTGATGCCATCCATTCTATCACGCCCCCTACCAGATTACTCTTTCTAAAATATACTACTCTTGGGCTGAGGGGTGTGGCTCAGTTGGTAGAGTGCTTGCTAGGCAAGTGCAAGGCCCTGCGCTCCAACCCCCATATTGTAAATAAAATAAAAATACACACACAAACTCATGAGACTGTTCGCTCCTCAAATACATCTTCAAAATTGCACAGTGCCTGTGATATCAAGCTCCTTATGCTAAAATACAAAGATCTTCATAAAGAAGTTCTTATCCTTTCTAACCTTTCTCTCACTAGAAAGACTCCAGGGAGCCGGGCTTTGAGACTTGACTGAGGCTAAGTCATTACACGAATTATTATCCTCTACCATTCAACGTTCACTTCTACCATGTTTTTATCTGGTTCCTTTTATATCTTATCTCCCAAGATAATACAAGTTTCTAGAGAAAAGAAACTCTGTACTCTATTCCCCAGAGAAATTAAAGCAGTAAACGAGTAAATCACAAAGTGTTCTTAAATATTTAAATTCAGACTGGCAGAATTTGATATTAAAAAACTATCAATTTTGATTAAGAATAGTAAATTCTGGAAAATTCTGAAATGCTAATAGCATTACCAATGCAGACATCAATTTTTCCTTTAATTGCAGCTTCATGGAGAGGAGTATAATTCCAATTATCTCGAGCATTTGGGTCTGCACCATGTTGCAAAAGGAGATTGACTACTTCAGCATGACCAAAAGAACACGCATTATGAAGAGGAATAAGCCCCCCATCATCACGTGCTTGGACATTTGCACCATTGTGAAGCAAATATTCTACCACGTCTTTCCGCCCAAAACCTAGAAGAAAACAAATAACACATTTAAATTCACCAAGGAAATTAAATTAGAATCAGTAAGTACAAGCTATACTAAAATGATCTGGGAAAGAAAACAACAGGTTCAACAAATCAAGGATTAATTCTTAGCTACATCCCCAGACCAGGAATTAACTTTAGATTCTTATTGAAAAGGTGACCTGAAATACTATCAGTAATGAATCTTAATAATAAAGCCAAAGGGGTTCTCTCTACTAAATGGTCTTAGTACCTTAGTAGTGTCTTAGTTGATCTTGCTACTAATTTCAGAGGAAGATTACAAAATTAGTGGTCAAAGCTTAAGCTTCAACTGTTTCCCACTATAAAATAGCATTTCTAGTTACGAATACAGAGTTCTGCATATTTAGTGTGCACAATTTTGGGTGTTCAACATATATAACTTAAATATGTAAATGATTACCTTATGAAGCAGTGACAAAACTATCTCTTGCTAGAATCCCTTTCCCACATCTACCTCATGAAATGTTTCTGCTAAAGTAGGAGACTAAGAGATAGCAATAAAACAAGATTGGCTTACAGCTTATATTCATGTATATAGTAAGATCTGACAGAGATGACCTAGACAAAAGAGCGAATCAAATGTCTTCAAAGGAGCTTCTACACTGCCATGTACACAATACAAGCGACTTCTTCTCAGGTAGGAAGAAAAATTCTTTGTTCCACCATTCTTCCCCCAAACCAAATAAAACAAAAGTCTGATAAGTTAATTATTATGTACGGTTTACAGATTTACTACCAATGGGTTTCAATCTCTTACCATTCCCTTGATACCTTTTTAAGGCTAATTATGAAATGGAAAGGAATTCAGGCATACCTTAAAGCAGATGGAGAGGTACATATGTATGTCTGTGTGTGTGTTGAGGGAGGGGAAAAAGAACTCCTTACTATTCTCAAAATTCTCCAGAATATTCTTAGAATCACCAAACCTAAATGTAACCCTTAAGCTGCATGAATGTGGATGAGAAAGAATGGCAGTTTTTTCAGGCTGAAACTGGTTGTAACTGACATGAGTTAAAATCACTGAAGAGATTAAACTTTTTTTTTTGGGAGGGGATTAATATTGTTAAGGTTCTGTGGTCACAAACATGATTATCTTTGTATGTTTGACTCCTCTCACCCCAAAGAAAAGGCATTGCAGTCCAAGCAGAAGAAACAAAATGTACATGAGCATGAAGGTATGAAAGCACAAATCCTTTATAATTGCCTGGGCACAGAATGTTAAAGTAGGCAGCCAGCAGATCAGAAAGACTCTTGCACATCATGACAAGGTGCTGTGTGGACTTTGTCCCACAGACTTGTGCTTTTCAGACATCAGATTTCAATGAAATTTGATGATTTCAATACATGTTTTCACCATGTTTACTGTTAAATATCCAGTGCTGGCACACAGCTGACACAGTGTAAATTAACTGAAAATCCTCATTCTTCCCTTTCACAAGTCCCAAAAGAAAATATCCCTTTATCTGTGAGCCACCTCTTAGAAACAATTTGAAGAATACTGCTACAACAAATCAGAAGTCCATGAAGGTTTGTTTATAGTAGTGACTCCATTTTGTGTTTTTTAGAAAGGTCATTTCGGTGATATGTAAATAAATGGATGAAATGCAGGGAGATAGGTCAAGATTTTAGATGGTTATTGCTACAGTCCATGTCATAGATGATGGAGGTAAAATTAAGACTCATTTGGTGGTTAAGATGGGTTGTATTAACATGGTTGGTAGAAAGGATATACTGTGAAGCCCTTCTCCCACTGCTATTTCCAGCCTCCCAGTTCCCTTCTGATTATCAAATTTTTGCAACTATTTCCAAAGTTTTATCTACATATATATATATATATCTCCAAAAAATTTACTAATATTTAAGATACTGCTTACAACTTTCTTAAAATAAAAATCTAGTAAAATTTCAGAAATCAACCCCTACTGGTATGTATTTTCTTCACTGGAAGTATCAAAACTTAATTAGTTTTATTCTCATGGATAGCTAAGTCTTAATTTCAATCTTTTACTAGGTTTTGGAAATGCTTAAGTTTGAAGTGCTTGTGAGACAAATGCCAAGTAGCAGGTTCTGTGACTCCTGAACTCAGAAAACTGGTCTCAGCCAGAGACAGACATTTTTGAGTAACAAGCATAAAGACAGTATTTGAAACCACCAATAAATATTAATGAAGCTAATTAGAGAACACTGATTTTCCTGCTTATACTTCAAATTCCTTCTCTCCTTGCACTGTAGTCCTTTTTCACCTTCTCAAGGTCTCTGTACTCCCTGCTGCCATCAATTTCTTCCTTCTCTGCTAGATCATTCCTAATAGTATGTAAATGTATTCTAATTTCTTTCATTTTATAAAAAGTATTCTCCCAGAACTCACATTCTCATCTTCCTGTTCATGAATAACCCAATCTGAACCCATTCACTCTTTCCCAAATTCAACTGACTTGTCTTCCTTGCAACTGCTTTCAACAAGGTCACTTAACAATCTCCATATTGCCAAATCCAAAGGACACATTTGTATCTGACATCTCAGCAACATTCAACAACTTACTATTTCTTCCTTCCTGAAATACCTACTCCAAAGATTCCATGGCAGTGCACTTTCCTCCTGTCTCATTCGTTCACCTAACAAGTGATTAGGGAACATGAGCTATGTTCCAGATACTTTTCCAGTGTCTGAGACGTCTAATGAATAAACTAAGTTACTGCTTTTGAGGAGCTTCTTTTCTGTGGGGATGCGGGAGAGGAACAATAAATATTAAAAGGAAGTATGTTAGGAGGTAATGAGAAAAAGAAGAGACTAGGGAATGATCCAGGTATGCATACAGGACGGGGACTGAATACAGTGGTTACTGCAGGCCTCACTGAGACAGTAACATTTAATCAGAGGCTTGAAAGAGATGAGAGTCTTAGCCTTACTTGCAAATAATAAGGAAGCCAGAGTGGGTGGAGCGGAGTGAAAAATGGTAGCATAGTAGGAAAAGAGATAAGAAGCTAGGAGGGCCAGATAAGGACACCAAATAAAGAGGTCTGAGAACCATTGTAAGAACTTCAGTTCTTTTTTTTAAACTCTGAGGAAAATGAAGTCACTAGAGTTTTGCGATATGACATACATTACTCTCCCCTGGCTTTTTTTTGGATTGAAGTAGGTGAGAGATTGTGGTAGTTTGGACCATAATTTGGTGGTTACTTGTCAGAATGGTTAAGTGGCAGATTTTGGGCAATTTTGAAGGTAAAGTCAGCATAATTTCCTAACAGGCTGGATATAGGGTGAAAATAAGGGTGGGAGAAAGAAAGAGCAAATGAGACTGAGTGAAGAGTCCTGGATGACCCCAAGGTATTTGGCCTGAGAAACTGAGAAGTGTAGTTGTCATCAACTGAGTTGGGGAAAAGTTACAGATAAAACAGATTTGTGGCAAAAATATAAGGAATTCAAGTTCTGGACATGTCATATCCCCCTGGGGCTGGTTCTACTTTTTTTATTTTGGTGAGACTGCCATTTGAACTCAGGGCTTCATACTTGCAAAGTAGGCACTCTACTGCTTGAGCCAAACCTCCAGTCCATTTTGCTCTGGTTATTTTGGAGATGGGGGGGAGGTCTCATGAACTGTTTGCTCGGCTGGCCTTGAACTGCGATCCTCCAGATCTCAGAATCCCAAGTAGCTAGGGTTACAGGCATGAATTCTTCCTCAAGAATTTCAGTTCTCTACTTTTTAGATGATTTTATCTACTCTCATGGTCTTAAATATCACCTAGATCAAATTTAAACCTCTAGTCTAAATACCAGAATGTTTACTTGACCTATCTTCTCCTTGATCCTTCAAGGTATCTCAAACACAACGGGTTCCTAGCTTCTGTCCATGTCTACTGACACTGCCATATTTCAACTAACATCACCTCCAGCCTGAACTACCTAAGTAGTCTTGTAAGTGGGCTTCTTGTTCCCCACTTCTTTTCAAACAAGTATCAAGAGCCAAGTGTGATGGTGCACAACTAATCCTAACTCTTAGGAGGTCAAGACAGGAAGATCATGAGTTCAAAGCCAATCTGGGATACACAGTGAGACCCAGTCTCAAAAAACTCAACCAAAAACCCAAAACCAAAAACAAGCAACAACAAATCCTATCACTTTGCTTTTAAAATAATTCACTGGCTTCCAACTGATGCTCTTAGAGTAAAACTCAAATACTTTACAGTAGTCTACAGGCCCCCTGGGTGAACTGGCCTTTACTACTGTCTCTAACTTTGTTTCATACCCTCTTCACACCCCCAGCCATGATCCAGTGTTCTTGGGTTTCTCAAGTATGCCACAGACTTGGCAAATGCTGCCTTTCCTCTTGGAATGCTGTGCTCTTGTACACAACATCCCTCACTTCTACTTACTGACTAGTCTCTAAAATGTCACCACCTAAATAAGACCATACTGCCCACCTACAATTTTCCTATCTTACCACTATTTGGTCTTTCTCCTCTCCTTTAGAATGAAAGCTCCTTAAGAGAGATTTCTGAGGCTGGAGGCATAGTTCACATGGGAAAGCACCTGCCTAGGAAGTGTGAAGCCCTGAATTCAAAACCTAGCACTGTCCAAAAAAAAAAAAAAAAGAAAGAAAGAAGAAAAGGGATTTTTGTCTTTGTTGTTTGCAGTTTACTAAAATTTGTAATTGTTTACTTATCTCCTGGACACTCATTGTCACTCGTTTTTGAGATAGGATCTTGCTATCTAAGCCCAGGCTGGCTTTCAACTCTCACTCTTCCTGCCTTAGCATCTTGACTGCTGGGACTGCAGGTGTGCACCACTGTGCCCAGCTCCTATACTCTTAATTGCATAAAGAGCAAGAGCCATGCACATCTTAGTTCATTACTACTACCCCTATGTCCTCCAGAAGCCAAGGAGGAAAATGGCACACCTATTGTCACTAGCCCCAATTTTGGCTCTCTTTATTACTCCACAGGCATATTGATATTGTCCTT